AAGACAATAAAACTTTTAAAGCAACGTGTAATGAATGTAAAGATGTATTAAGTTATAAGTCATCCACCGCGAATTTAAAAAGTCATCTGCGAAGAAAACATCCTTCGGTTTATTTATCGGTGTTCGGAGCTGACGATGACCAATCCGGTCACATTCATCTGGACAAACGAATCAGGAACAAATTCGCAGTGCTTTGCACGCGGAACCCATTCCAGGTATGTCGAGTTCTTCGGTGGGAGAACAATAGTCATTTGAGCCACCCCGGGCTTCAGCTAAACGACAAAAAGTTATGGACGCATTTTATGCAAAAAAAAAATTAGTACAGATCAAAAAATACAAATCGACAAGGATTTACTCGATTTATGTATCGATTCATTTCATCCGTTTTCAATTGTGGAGGAACGTGCCTTTAAAAAATTTTGTAGATGGATTCCCGGCTATAAATTGCCAACTAGGATAACGTTATGCGGGTCATTATTACAGGAAACCTATAATAAAGTAGAGGCCAAAATAAGAGCTCGTGTATTTCAAGAAGTTCAAACAATTTGCACTACAACGGACCTTTGGACGTCAAGAGTGACGGAGAGTTACATTGCCGTCACGGGACATTACATAACCAATGAGTTAGAATTTAAAACTGTGTTGTTGGGTTGCTGTCATTTTTCTGGAAGCCACACCAGCCTCAAATATCGCATCCGAGATTGAGGAAATTCTCAATAGGTGGAATATTAGAGGTAAAGTGAATTTCGCGGTAACCGATAACGCCGCAAATATGGTAAAAGCCATTAGGGAACATCTAGGAATTAAGCATTTCGGTTGCTTCGCGCATACGCTTAATTTGTTGGTGGATGATGCACTCAAATTACAGGAATGTTTAATAGATAAAATAAAAAAAATTGTATCCTATTACAAAAGAAGTACGTTGTCCTCGGAGAGAATTGCAAAATATCAAGTTCAACAGAATCAACAACCTAAGCGTCTCATTCAAGAACAAGTAGAAACACGATGAAATTCAGTTTTCAATATGCTTGAACGTATTGTCGAATTGCAAGAAGCAGTGCGGTCAACGTTAGCACTTGTAGAGAAAGATTTGCCACACCTCTCAAATGAAGACTGGATTAATTGTACCCAGCTATGTCAAGTTTTACGCAGCTTTGAGGAGTTAACGAGGGCAATGAGTGGGCAGCAGTATCAAACAGCTGGTTCAATTATTATTATGGTCCGATGCCTGAAAGAATCCTGTAAAAAAATTATAGAGAACGCCGAATTTGCGGAACCAGTTCACGACGTCGCTTTGTTACTGATGGCGGGGCTAAACGATAGATTTCGAGCAGTGGAACAGAGTGGTTCTCTCGCTCTGAACACATTCTTAGACCCACTTTTCAAAATGCAGGCATTTTCAGATGCAAACGAGGCTACAAGAACTAAGGAAAAAGCACGGAAACTAGTTGCTACAATTATTTCTGAAAATTACAGAACAACAGTATGTTCGACAGCCATTACAGAAGAAGAACCTAAAAAAGATGGGTACAGTCCTTGGATTATATTTGATAATATAATAAAACAAAGCACGTCCAACCATATAACACCTTTAGCGAAAGCAATCAAAGAAGTAGATATGTATTTGGCTGATGATATTTTGCCACGAAAGAATGAAAAAGTGAGTGGAATAGTCCCCTGCAATGGTGGAAAAACCATCGTCACGTATATCCCAATTTACTGAAACTATTTATTAAAAATTGTAACATAGTAGCAACATCGGTTCCATGCGAACGAATCTTTTCAAAATCAGAACTGATTTTAACACAAAGACGAACAAGATTATCTACGACCAAAGTAAAATAATTGATGTTTTTACATGTCAACCTTAACGAAAATAGGTTTGCAAATTACATGTAAATAAATTTGTCGTGTAAATATGTATATACTATGTAAATAAAAATTAATTGATTATGTATATAAAACGACCTTTTAAATACGCCAGGCATACACAAATACAGGTAATTCTGATTATACGATTAAGTATAACTAGCCTGCCTGTCCTAAGCCTGGAAAAAGTATGAAGGGAAGTTCATTTTACTCAATAATAGTTAACTAAGACTAATATTATCGCTTGCCGATTGACGTCTCTCGTTGATCACATCACATAACAACAGTCTCATTATTTAACAAACACACAAACAGTTTACTCCAGTCGTCGTTTACCAATTACCGAATCAACGTAGAACGACAAGTAGTTTATATTGACCTAAATTATTCATCGACCATGTTTTGTCGACGGCATAAACTAGTCGAAAAAAAAACTGTTTTATAAACTAGTTTATCGTTGAAGATAAACAGTCTCGTTTCGTCGACTGTAAATACGTCGACGACCCATTTCTAACGCAATGTAATACAATGCGTGTCGTGAACGCGACCTTGATCTACTGATACATAAGGATATAAAGATATAAAAGAGTGATACATATCCTAGCGAACAAAAGCTACATATCAATCTTTTCTTTTAAGTGATACACATTGCCCATGTGCAAACATGTGCGTCTATCTCTCGCTGTCTTGACGCCAATGACTAGTGCGGTGCGGTGCATTTATTTTGTATTGTCGATAATTACCCACAAAATGATTATTGTATTTAGATATCGTTTTTCTCTTAGATATTAGATATAGATAGATACATAATACACCGTTTATTATTTACTACTGTAAGTAATACTTTATTATATTAATTATAATCATTCTTTTCGTGTATGAGTTTTTAGATAGGTATGATAACAATGTTATTTTATATAAACTGTATGATTTTTTCCCTATAGGTTTCCAAAAGACGGTAATATGAAAAACAAATGGATAAACGTTACAAAAAGAGAAAATTGGTTCCCATCAAAATATAGTGCCATGTGTTCGAAACATTTTATTGAGGTTTGTTTTCTAATGACAAACAACAAGCGGCGACTAATGAGGAGTGCAGTACCTACGTTGTTTTTGCCTCGAACGGTTAGCAACAAAATGCATATTATGCAACTGCCTAATATTACGTACGTGTCTTAACCGACATAAGCCCTTAATTAGAAATTGAAGTTGTTATGTAAAATAGGTATACATTTATATTTATAATGGTTTTAATCGTTATTCTAGATATTTTATCGTATTTTCTACCTTTTAGATAGATACACCAAACGAAGTAGCTGCGACCTTACTTCGAGAAAATGCATCAGAAATTGCTTCAAACTCACTTGTAGAAATTCAGCCGGCGGAACTTACTACACCAAAATCGAATAAAAGAAAAGAGACACCTTCTCAATTTAATTCGCCAGTTAAAAAAAGACTATGCAGACAGATTTTAGAGATATCTGAAAAACTTAACCATAAAAACAAGCAGTTAAAAAATTTAAGAGAAAAAAACAGATTTAAAAAAAAAGAATTGCTTCCATGAAGACAATAATTAAAGAACTTGAATCCAAAAATTTTGTTACAACTGAAAATACTAACATTTTAAATCAAATTGGCGTGTGCAATAAAGAACTAGTAAAACGACAGATAATGAAAAAAAAATCAGGCCACGTTTTGAGAAAAAAATATTCACCTGAACTTCGGTCATTCGCAATGACTCTTGCATTTTATTCGGCTAAAGCATATAAATATGTTAGGAGAACTTTTGACACGTGTCTGCCTTTATTGCGAACATTATCGAAGTGGTATCAAACTATAGAAGGGAAGCCAGGATTTACAAAAGAATCACTCATAGCGTTAAAGCACAGAGCTGAAATGAATTCCACTGATTTCATTGCTACACTTGTGTTTGATGAAATCAAGATTAAAAGTAAAGTCGAATTTGTCCCATCCAATCAACGCATCTTTGGATATTTCGATTTTGGTGGACAGTTAGATAGTGATTACAACAACTTATGCACTGAAGCTTTAGTGTTATTAGTTGTCCCGATTAATGGTCGTTTTAAGGTACCTATTGGGTATTTCCTAGTTGACAAATCCAATGCAGAACAAAAACAAAATATAGTGCTACAAGCAATTGAATTGTGCCATGAGTCCAAAATAACAATCAAAGCACTTACATTTGATGGTTGTCCTGTTAATTTAGCAATGGCCAAACGGCTAGGCTGTAATCTTACCGCAGACAATATGAAAACTTCATTTAAGCACCCGGTTACTGGAGCTAACGTATTTATTTTCTTGGATCCTGTCCATATGTTGAAATTGGTTCGAAACGCTTTCGAACAATATAGAGAACTCAAGGACGAAAATGGAAATAGCTTAAAATGGGAGTATATTCAAAATTTACAAGAAATGCAAGATAAAGAACATTTTCACCTAGCAAATAAACTGCGTGCGAAGCATATACATTTTAAAACGGATATAATGAAGGTAAAATTGGCAAATCAACTATTTAGCCGCAGTGTGGCCACTGCTTTAAATTTTTGTGAAACGTCGCTAAGATTACCCGAATTTCAAGGGGTCAAGGCTACAGCTCGAATTGTACTACTTATGAATGATCTTTTCGATATTCTTGATTCCAAAGTGCGTGGTTATGGTTATAAACGTGCTTTGAACGAAGACAACCATGTTAAGTTATTTGAAAAATTGGATGAATGTAAAAATTTTTTGCTGTCAACCAGTAAAATTTCAGATCAAGAAACCAAATCAAAGCGGTTAAATTGATCGATTCTCCGCGTTTCACTGGATTTATCGGATTTTGTGTTGCAATAGATAGCACAAAAGGAATGTTTTGGGATTTGATATGCGACGCAAAGAGTCCTATTACATTTTTGCCCTTGCATAAAATATCACAGGACCACATTGAACTTCTTTTTGCCGGAATACGATCACATGGTGGTTCGAATGATAACCCGACTCCACGTTTGTTCGAGGCGATATATAAAAAAATTTTGGTCCACACAGAATTAATGGAAACATCCACGGGTAATTGTATACCACTAGAAAAAATATGAATTTTAAACTGCTCATCTGCGATAGCTAAAATAAATATGACTACGCCAAATCAGACAGAAAAAAATGACGATGATTTCGGAGTTCCTAAAAGTCAAGAAGACATTGAGAAAGGCCTCGAGTCTGTCGAGCTCTCACAGTTTTCGGAACATGTGATAGAATATGTTGCTGGCTACGTTAGTAGTGCATTAATTAAAAAAAATCAGATGCAATACCTGTATAGCTTTAGTGTCATTAGACGAAAATAAAAAGGGTCTCATATTCTACAAAGATAACGGAGGATTAATATATCCGTCACTCATGGTTGTTAAAATATGTCGGCGTTGCGAATCCGTAATCAGGAAAGATGTTATCAGTAGTGACTCTAAAGGAAAAATCACCGCTGAACGGTTGACCCATAAAGCTCTTAGTAGCTTTACAGAAGAACAATTATTCCCGGAATAAACATATCATCAATTTTATGCCTAAGAAACCAATCATATTATTGATTTAACGAGAAGTGTAATGAAGAAATATATTGATACGAGGATGACATTTATATTTAAAAATCAAAAATTAGAAGAAAAATGTGCAGTTAGGAGAATATATACAAAATTAATTCATTTTAAAAATCAATAATAGCGCTTAGTAAAATAAATATAATAAATAAATGTGAAAATCTTATTTATGCCCATTTCAATCTACCCGTACTGCCTCGTAGTGCCTCGACCTCGAGCCGAACTATCTTGCGTATCTCCTACGGGACCTTTTTTATGTTAAAGTTTGACAAATCACTAAAAGTTTATTTTAAACTCGTTTAGTTTATGCTTGAATTTTTTTCAAAGTTGACATTTATATTTTACCTGAGTATTCTTCTTGAAGATGTTAGTACATTAAAAATTGCATTTATCAATTGCACAGGAAAATCGAAGTCACAGTCAAAATCTAGTTACTGATACTAAAAACATGTATTAAAAATACGAACAAACTTATCGATATCAATAGAAAGCATAAAGTCATTACAACGCACGCCCTAGCGATCGCGTTCAGAATCTCTTCGGTATACTTCGGAGTATTTCGGAGCGATCACAACTCCCCCCGCACCGTAGGTAGTTAACAAAATTGTTTTCTTTTAAATTCGCATTTATTACTCCTCTATATGGTTAAGTGCTCGTAGGTAAGTAGCCTCTGTGGTGTCGTGACATTGTCAGGTAGGAATGGGCAAGAGAAAAAAATATCGATTCGATATTCTTATACAGTATCGGTAGATATCGCGTGATAAATATCGATATATCGTCATCATTTGCATGATGTAATAAGTCCATTTAATATTACTGACGGTTGGACGACGAAAAGGAACGATAAATACAACCGAATTTTGTAGCTCTTTTAATTTTTTCCTGTTATGTCCATTAATACAAAATTTTCAAATATATCGAAATTGATATGAATTCGATATTCCAAAACAAATATCGATGTATCGAAATATTGCGATTAATAACATCGACGATATACCTATATCGCTATTTTTGCCCAAGCCTATTGCAGGTGTCAGCTGTCACTGTCATACACATACGTTTGTTAATTTGTGAGAAAGCGCGGGAACCTTGAAACGTGATAGGCGCCTTTTTTTAAACTAAAATTATAATTTTGTTTTATTTAGTTAAGGCACTAAACTTTTATTGTCTTATTGTTACTAGGTTTCCTCATCATGGGGAAACGTAGAAAAAAAGTTGTCGGGAGAAGAAGAAGTATTTGAAGAAACGACTGAGGAGGAAGAAATTGATACCAGTACTGAGGAAGATCCTGATAAAGAGCAGCGCAAGTATAAGCCGTACTTTGTATCTGACTACAACAGGAGGGAGGCCCTGAGGACTCTATCCTCGTTAATTTTGTTGTTTTTGTCGAATCAAATAATGAAAGAAGGCCAATCGGCACGCGGGACATGATGTCTCTGTCCACACATATGAAGAGGTTCAATAAAGGCACTAAATATTTGCAATCTATGAATAAATACAAAATAGGCGTTCATTTTGAAAAGCCCTCTCTAGCGAATGCATTTTTAAATAATATTACATTTCTTAATGAATACAAAATGAAGGTATCTATTCCAGCTGTAGGGACAGAAATAACAGGAGTCATAAGCAATGTTCCCACTAATCTTTCTAATTCAAGAATTTTTGGTATGTTAACGACTTACAGGAAGATAATATGTGTTAAAAGGATAATGAGGAAACATAAGAATGATGCAGGACGCAGTTTGCTGCAGCCGACGGGCACCGTGGCCATCACATTCGCTTCTAATGTTTTGCCGGACCACGTCGATCTTCATGGTTGGCGGTTCGTGGTAAATCAGTATATTCCACCAGTGGAGCAGTGCTACAATTGTCTGAGGTATGGTTACTTAGCAAAGTATTGTAAAAATTCTGTGAAATGCTCAATTTGTACTGAAAATCACAGCTACAAAGATTGCCAAGTCTCTTCAGATAAAGCGATATGCATACATTGCAAAGGAAACCATCTAAGCATTTCTGGACAGTGTCCTGTTAAGAAACAAAAGATAAAAGAAAATCAGGCTAAATTACACAAAACCCCATTTGTAGACCTTTTTAATAAAAACGAATTCCCCGAATTAAACAAAAAAAATCCTAAAGATGCTCTTATGTCACTGCTAAAGAATAATGACATTATTAATATAATTTTAAATACTGTCATTAAAGTATTAACTCTTAATAAATCAAATGTACAAACCACCATATCTTCTCAGCTTATTAAAGATGTTCTCATAGATAAAATGAAACCAAAATAGATATTTCATTATTTAACTTTAATATTTTATGGATCAGTTTAACATTTTACAATGGAATGCACAGAGTTTAATTTTTTTTCTTCATTTATAAAACGTTACCCCCACACTAGGATTTTCTCCTGTATCGTGGAGGCAGTTTACAAACACAAATTTCACAAGGACAAACATCCAGACTCGGAACAATTATTTGTAGGCCATACAAATATTGTTCCGTGCGGGATTCGAACCCGCGCCCCCAGCGCAGCAACTCATTGCTAAGCCACTGCGCCATGGAGCCGTCCGTCCGAAAATCACTTTCAATTTACACAATTTTTAAAAGAGAACACCATAGATGTTGCTCTCATATGTGAAACTTGGCTTAAACCTAGGCACAATTTTAGAGTAAAAGGTTATAATATTATACGATTAGATTCAGGTAATGATCATAATGGAGTAGCAATACTTCTACATAACAAAATTGGATTTCGTATTATCAATACATTCTCTCATGGCTCATTACAAAATATAGCTGTACAATTACAATACAATGATAAATTATTAACTTTAGTTAGTGTTTACTGTCCCCCTAATTCATCAATTAATTATAATAAATCCAAATTAGATAATTTAATTCAAAGTTTGCCACAGCTAGTCTTTATAGCTGGTGATTTCAACGCCCATCACACGTTATGGGGATGTACTGAATTAGATTCATGAGGTAGGGACATTCTTGCAAGTATAGATGACAACAATCTTGTAATCTTGAATGATGGTCAGATGACTACAGTAGGATCTCATAGATGGAGGCAGAACGCATTAGACTTAACACTTGTTTCATCTTCACTGGCTCTGTCTTGTGAGTGGCAAGTATGTGATGATGATTCTCTAGGCAGCTATCATTTTGCGGTAAAGACAAAAATTACAGTCAATAATCAAAATTTTCAAGAAACGCTGTATCAAATAACATAAACTTAAAATTGGTAGATTGGTCAAAATATCCAAATTTAATAGATAATTTAATTAAAAATTATAGTTTTGATTATAGTAATCCTTTACAATGTTATAGAGACTTAATAGAACTAATTAAACAAGCCATGCATGAATCCACACCATCCAATCAGTCTTCTAATCGAAATGTTAACATCAACTTGCAATCTTTTAAAAGAATTTAAAAAAAAATTCTCTACCTTGGTGGAATCTAAAATGCAAAGAGGCAGTATTAAATTGTAAAAATGCAAATTTAGTATTTAATAATGATCCCTCAGAACGAAATTATATTAATTGTAAAAGACTACAAGCTGTTAAAAAAATTACTTTGAAGACTGAAAGACTGAGAATTTTATCTAGAAAAAAATTGGCTTTTACCATCAAATCAGTTTGAATTCAGACGCCGTAAGTCATCTAGAGAAAGTATTGCATTTCTACATTTAGACATCTTTAAGGCTATGGAAGATAATGAATAGCTTGCTACATATATATTTATCTATGATAATGAAGTATTAACATTTCCTGTATAGGAAAGTTATTATACTCTTTTAGTATTAATTAGTATATTCTTTGACATTGTTGGTGCATTTAATAACGTTAATCTTCATGTACTCGCCGCAGAGTTGAGGTCTTTGGCCATTCCTGAAAAAATTGTAAAATGGATATTTAACTTTTTACATGAAAGAAGAGGTTTTGCTAAAGTTAATAATAATAATACAATTATTGGTCCTAGGCTCAGTTATAAAGGTGTTTGTCAAGGAGGAATACTAAGTCCTCTTATCTTTATTTTGTACATATTTAAATTAAACAATATTTTAGGATCAAATGTTACTAATTTACAATATGCAGATGATTTGATCATACATGCCTCAAGAACAAATGTCAAAAACTTGGTAACCACTTTAAATGAGGCTTTAAAGAAATTGCACATTTACTTTTCATACTTAAATTTAGATATCACTACTGAGAAAAGTAAAGTTGTAATATTTAATAAAATTCGTCCATTTAACACTAGAATAATTTATAATAATACATTTTTACCACTAGAAAGTTGTAAAAAATTCTTAGGTGTAATTTTTACAAATAATTTATCTTGGACCAAATACGTTAATTCTATTTCAGACAGAGCTTCTAAGGCCTTTAATGTATTAAAAGCTTTGGCTAGTACTAACTGGGGAGCTGATCCAGAAATATTATTAATGTTATATAAGCCTTTGTTGAGGAGCCATTTTGAGTACGGCTTTCTTTGTTTTGCATCAAATAAAAAAGTAGTAAACAAATTAGAAAATATACAAAATAAGAATTTAAGACTTATTACCTGCTCTATGAGAACAACTCCTATTGTTTCTTTACAGGCTGAATATCTTCTTCCTCCTATCTTACTTAGGTTTAAATATCTGAAATTTTGGTTTTTATTAAATATTAATTCTTTGTCTCATCATCCTCTTTTTCAAAAAGTATTATTTTACTATAATAGTATGTCTCCTATAGCTAACTCAGCCCCATATATACTCCATGACTTTCATGAAGTGATACGATATGATGAACAATATAATATTCACAAAAGCACACATACTTGGCCTTGTTATAAGGGGAATTATGAAAGTAAATTCAGTGCTATACACATAAATATTGATGAAAAATTAAAAAGAAAAGAAGAGGTTTATGAACTTATATCTACATATGATGAAATTCGACAAATTTACACAGATGGTTTAAAAGTTGAAAATAAAGTAGCCTGTGCATTTTACATACCTCATCTGAAAACTGGACGTGGCCTTTCCATTCCTGCATTAGCAAGCATATACACTGCAGAATGTTATGCTGTCTTAATCCCTCTTAAATATATAGAAGAACACCCACATGTATCTACTACATGGTTACTGATATCTGATAGCATGAGTGTCTTGAAGACACTGAAGGCAAGAGCTTTAGATGCTAAAACCTCTTTCATCATATATGAAATCAAAAGTTTGTGGTGGAAATTGAAAGAAAATAATTTGGAAGTAAAATTTTTATGGACTCCGTCACATATTGGGGTTCAAGGAAATGAAAGAGCAGACCATTTAGCTAAAAGTATAGTTAAAGCTGATATTGACAGGATAACCGATGTTGCAATACCACATACAGATTTATATTCAATTTTAAAGCAACAGTTAAAAGAAGAATGGAAAATGTAATGGAATGCTGTTTTAGAGGCAGGAAAAGGTCGTTGGTATGCATCAATTAATTCAGATTTAAGTATTCCTTGGTTTTCTCGCAACGAGAGATATCATAGCAGGAAATTTTATACAATAATGTGCAGACTTAGATTTGGCCACTATCGACTGAACGCTCATCTTTCCAGTTGCAGTGCAGTTTCTGCGATACAGAAGCAGATCAGACTGCAGAACATATAATATTTAACTGCCCAGCTTACGCCATAGAAAGATTGCTACTCATTGAATAACTTATACAAGTTTATGAAAACTCAGAAAGCGACCCGCGTGCCCTGCAAGATGTTCTTATGAATACTAAGACATATTTAGCACTTTGCAATTTTATTCATAATACTGTAAAAGAAATGTGAAATATGGTATCCCTGTTTTTGAAAATATTGGATTGACAAATCTACATGGATTGAAACTTACAAAGATTATAATATAAAGAAGACTAGGCTTTAGCCTTTATGGGTTTTTGAAAATATGAAGAATTAAAGAAATTAAGACTTGACTTCGGCCTTTATGGATTTTGAAGAGATGGAAAGAAGTAAAATAAGACATGGTCCCGGCCTTTTCACTTTAAAATTCTATATATTCAAAATAAAAAAAAACAAGGCTGTATGGCTTAGTTCCTTTGCCTGCTCTCTCGAGCGAATAATAAAAACAACAACATTTGTTAATCGTATAATTGACTAGATAAAGCATTCGCGTATGCTTTTGAGATAGAAATAGGCGGGAGGTACTTTTACTGGGTTACCAGATATTGTTCCATTTCCCCCGTTATGGGTTTATTTATATTCACAGCACTTACATTTATACAATTAACTTAATTGTTACCTAAAAAAATATTCTTTTATAATTCAGATGATGAATTAATATCTCTTGAAAATACATTCTGTGACTAAAAACTACGGGCGGAAACGGCGTAAAAACAGAATCATAATTCTGTATTCAATGGCGCATCGACGATTTTACTGGACATTCAATAAACTCTTTGGATTTCGATGGCACTAAGTGAAGGCGCTAATAGCACAAAGTGTGATATCGCTAATAAATAACAATATGTTATGTATGTACTTAAATATTATATGAGAATAAAAATATTAAATAATAAACAAAAATTTCCTTGTGTCGAGTTATGTTTTTACAAAAAAAAATCAATAATATTTTAACATACCATTCCATCACAAGTTCAGTGCTGAACACAGACCTTCGAAAGGAAAGGGTTTCCACTTAGATTTTGTAGTACAAAACACGGTTATGAGCCTACTTCCGCGATTTCCTGCATGTTCTGCTAAGTTTGTGTCTTGTGTGCGGCAAGTTGTGGCGTACAAGAGAATTTGTCTGTACACAGGATGATATTACCCCGCGTCGTAAGCAATAATTCAAGATGGGGATGGGGCAGCAGCACTATCCCGATGAAAACTTAAAATAATAAAAAACTGCGGTGGCCAACCAACATAACGCATATTTTCACGCAGGCGTGGCAACTACGGCAAGTCATCCTATGAGGATATCTATGGAAGGCCTTTTTTAGGTGACTTATTTATGGTTAGGTGGCTTAATCATGTTACCTAATGGTTAAGGTGGTAAAATTTCTTAGTTAATATACGTTGTAAAGTATCAACAAAGGTTTTTTTTGTCATATGTTGGTATATAAAATAAAAACGAATGTGTTATAATATTCTATTTTAATTTACCATGCAGTGTAAGATTATCTGCTACCTCATATCATTCCATGGGTGGTGTATAAGGCGACATAGGGAAACATCAAAGAAGATAAACAGCAACATTGTCCTGATAACAGCTAAATAATGGTTAACAACCCGCTTTCCAAGCGTTGAAACTATGCCAAATAACTATAATCATGTTTATGTTCAACAGTGACTTTTGATAGACTGTAATGATATATATTCTATTTAAATGAAAATATATTGAAATTTAAAAAGGAAAAAGAACTAAATTTTGCGTACTTACACAACTTTTAGAAATATTAACAATTTTACATTAAGTAAAACAAATGAAAACACAATTATATATTAAATATAATTCAATAAAATTAAAATAAACAAACGATTATTTATTAATTTTTCATCACATTAATAAACAACAAATTTAACAAAATTTTTGTCTTCTTTCTAGAGCATTCGTTGTAATTCTTGGTTTGAGTAGCCTTAGAATTTCTCAAAAATATGCATTTGTAAACTTGATTTATACTTTTGCATGGCAGAAATTCTTGGGTGCTGGTCGTTAGAATCAGATTAGAAGGGAGTGTATATATATTATTTGCCTTGTATATAATATATTTTAATGGTATAAATAATAAGGTACAACTCCTAAACTATACTTAGATAGGTAATACTTATCTCTTATTTAATATTATAAATTATTATTTCTTAATTTATTTACACATTAATGTTTATAACACCTTTATAAAAGGGGTTAAGGGTGGACTAAATGTCCCATTGGTAGGCATTCCCAGTCAGTTTTACAATTATTATTGCATAATAAATTATTCATTTGTATATTTAGGTCAGGACTTTAAATTACTTATTTATTTATTTTATTTAAATCTTTATTTGCATAAAACATGGTAGTACCGATAAAGTTCCAACATTTGTAAATGAGGATTCATGTTTAATCAATACATCTATAAGTAAATATTTTGTCATTGTCATGCCACACAATTATTACAAGTCATAATAATACAGAATGACAGCATTTGAAAATAAAATAAGCAATGCTAGTCAATTTTTAATACATACAGAACAATGTCAAAAATCATAACTACCAACAAGATCAAACTTATATCACTTATGGAGAAACAACAAGATACAACAAGAAATTATAACATTTAAAAAAATTATCTTAATTATATTCTAAATTACATAAATTAAGCATATTTAGTCCACCTAAAACAATGAGGCTTAAAATGTTTTGAGCATACACTGCTAAGTTTTGTTGGTTACCTATAAGCACTACCAGTAGCGATTATCCAACTATTAAGGATAGCTGATTTCTTAGGAAAGCTGCGAAATAATATATTTAAAAGAAATTAATATATTAAATACCTATATAGTACATTTTTATATCAAGGTATTTAACAAAAAAAAATCAAGTATGTGTATCTGTGCATAAATACAATACCTATAACAATTAAAACAATATCAATTGATTTAATTAAATAGCAAGTATATGTAACTGTAATGATAATATTTTTCATACCAAACATTTAAAAAAATTATGTACATATTAAGCTTTAGTTATTGTTAATTAATACATTTACAGTCTAACAAATGTCCTCCACAGTTGAACATAGACCTCCCACACAGTTTGTCTCCAAATAACTGCAGTTGCCAATTCTCCTGCCGAGCTAGGCAACTATCACAAAACCTATAACTTTTGATACTGACTAATGGTAACGGTAAGTATATTATCATCAAATTTTTTCTACATCATTAATTGAGAATATTATGTTATTGTTACGAGCTTGAGGTTCGAGACAATTAAAAACTGCCGATTAAATTACCAAAATGGACACTTTAATTACGGATACTAATTACACCTTAAAACACACTAATAATAAAACACAGTTCGCCGTTATTTCGCTTCGAAGTATTCTCTTGTATCGCCAATTCAATACTGCCTCGGTCGTGGTCTATACCGGCCTTATATAGGGCCTCAGATAGTTTCCAGAACCTTCTACTGTAGCGACATCTAGAATGTTCGAGTACATATCGGTCCCGAAATTTCTGGAAGGATCTCGACTCTCCTAGTTCTGCTACTCGACACTAGAGGGCGCTAGTGTAACTAGTGTTGCCATGTACAAGACATTAATAGTGGCGCGCAATACTTTCATTTACTCGACACTAGAGGGCGCTAGTGTAACTAGTGCTGCCATGTACAAGATATTAATAGTGGCGCGCAACATTATGTTCTTGTGTTATTGTGTACCTTAAGATTAAGACTTATTTATTTATTTATTATTTTATCTATATTTATATTTATTTTTATATTAGCATGACATATTTTTTTTTAATAAATATTGTAATGTAATAGTTGCTAATGTATAATAGAATTAATGGAATGCAATAAAGTTTTGTGCATCTGATTTCAGGCAGTATATATTTTGTGAAATTAAATATAGTTTTCCCCAATATTTATGTACTTGAATCCAAACATGTTTTCAGGTTGATACTTACATATTATTTGTGAAGTCTATGTAATATGGAAAATGATTGAAGAGTAGTATGGCAATAAGGAGTTTCCTTTAAAGCTGAACATTAAATTGTATGTATATGTATAACATTATGTGATTCATATTTATGGACATAACTACTAATCACAATAACAATTATTATTGAACAATGCGAAAACATTATTGTACTCGCTGATATCCCTAAAGTTTCTATAATCCTACCAAATCAAAAAGTACACGTTTTTTATGACTTTAAGCTTTCGAATGACCGTTCAAATTAAGGAGCATTATCATGAAGAATTTATAATTTGGGAGTCCAAATATTTGACAAAATACATTACAAAGTTCATTAAAAACATGAAATGTTACACTTTATATTCAAAACAATAGATATCAATCAGTATAAGTAGCAAATATAAGCACAAAACAAACTTACCGATGAAAGGTAATATTATCAATTTTTCGTTGACTGATGCTGTTGCATCCTAAAATGCTACAACTTACCATCTTTTTCACCTTGCCTAATAACTAAGATCCACAAAAAACACTAAATTCAATTACCTATTTGCTTATAATATCAATATTATTCAAAAGAGCTTGACATCGTTAATGTCAAATAAAGGAGGGAAAACAATCAAAAACGCATACCTAGAAAAACACAAGAAATATAGATTTGTTTCTCCCTTACTCTTATGTCTAACTATATACGTGCATTCCTTTCACACGCTGATGACGTCACTGAATGTTTAGTCTATAAGATACTATGTCTATGTTGTTAATTTGTCTCCATAGATAAATAAATATGTAGCGAGTTTGTTTCATAGACAAATAATAAATATATATGTAGCAAGCTAATTTGTTTTGTTTTGCTATGGTAGGTTAGTGGTAAGCGAAGATGATTCTTAATTTTGCAATTTCGATGATCTAGATAGGTTATTACCATTCTTTCTATATTCTATTTGAAACATCATCGCAAAAATATTTAAAGTATATATAAAGACAAATAAGGTTATCTAAATTTTTAATAAAATGGAATTTCCAACACTTGGAGAGCACTGCCAAAACGAAGATTGTAAACAAAAAGACTTTTTGCCTCTACAATGCAAATGCGGCAAAGTGTTTTGTCGAGAACATTTTGGTGATCATTGCACTTCTGGATTCTGTGAAATGACACCAAAATCAAAAGATATATGTCTAAAAAGTGACGATAAGATATTTCGATGCTCGGAGGAAGGCTGTAAGAAAGGAAACTTACACGAACTTTTGTGCAGCAAGTGCAATAAGCATTATTGCATTGAACATAGATTTCATCTGTAAGTTAAGTTTGATCATGATTTATTGTAAAACTCATAACTGGACAGTGTGTATGCAATCTTACAGATTGAAGGTTCCCAAATCATGTATATCTTAATAGTCATCAGCCTGACCCAGTCTAATAAGTTCATAATTCTTTCCTTACCTCTTATATTTAATCAAATCATTCAAATCAAATAATTTTGCATAACTTATAAAGTACCACTGCAATACTTCATATTTATAACATTATCTAATACCACTATTTAGTCGGTGATTGTAGACAAATGAAGAAAGAGCTGTGGTAGCTCAGATGGTTAGCACTCATTGTAAATTTCATAGTATGCGGGTAACCCAGGTTCGATCCCCCACCAGCACCAATGAAATTGCTCATCGCATTTTTAAGTGCTGACTTACCAAATGCTCGGTGGTGAAGGAAAACATTGTGAGGAAACCTAAATGTCTGAGAAATAAGAAAAAAAATTTGCATGTGAAGTTTGCCAACACGCATAAGGGCAGCGTGGCGGAAATTTACTTGCCCTAAAACCCCTTCAGAAATGAGGCTGTGAAATGTGCTGTGCCCAGCAGTGGGATGTGTATATAGGCTGTAACTTTTTACTTTTTATAGACAAATGAGTTTGATATTTAGTATCGGTGTAAGACAATCTAGAACCCAATAACATCCTTGTGTGCTATAAGAGGTAACAGAGGAAAGTGGAACTGGAAACGGGTAGCAGAATCTTTCTGATAACAACTCAAAATATAAAACACTTGTGGCTGCCAACCCACCTGCCAAGCATGGCAACTATTGCATATATTCCTCTTATGAGGCAATTACAAATGCATACAAATTAAGTTTGATCTACCACAAGCTTATTTAAAAAGATTGGTTTTGAAGGAAAATATCATGAGTAAACTAGTCTGTCAGAGAATTTATAATATTTAGAGGTCATGTGAAGCTCTCCCACCTTTGGGGAAACCTTCAGCTTTGGCCAAAATAGCCCGAATTTTTGGCCGTACTCAAAGGTTCCTAGCAAGCACCAAAATTGAACGAACTGCTATGAATGAGCGAGAGCCCAATGGACATGGTGAAGCAATTTTTATAATCTCTAAATCAACTTCTCGAGATGATTAAAGTCACCTTTTTATATTTTACAGTCAATATAAACCTTTGATTTAAAAGTTTAAAAATCATTTATATTATTAATTTAGCCAATTATGAACTGAAATTTTAAGGGTTTTAAAGCCGGTTTCAGCTTAGGTCAGAAATCGGCCTTTGGTTGGATACTGCCACCTTCACATATTGTGGCAGCACTGTAGACTACAGCTCTAAAAATTCTTTCACAAATAACAGTGGGCCCAATTATGGGACTCCTATAGGCTGTGACTTTATTATTTATCTTAGGCATTATTATTGTTATTTGGTAATTTTAGATCTTGTCCTGAAATAGACGATGAAACAATGGCTAGAAAAATAGAACAATATGAAGCACCTAGACGACAATTTCATGAAGCTAATAAACATTTGCAGCAGAAGGTTGGTTGTTTTCTTGTACTGAAATAATTTTTTGTACTGGTATTGAAAGTGTAGGGTGGGAATAGATGGAGTGACAACCTGGTAAGAGATGCAGGATGTCAATGAATGCAGGTGGCTAAGGATCAAACTTTGTGAAATTTCTTGGAGGAGGTTGTTGTGGTTCCACAGTAAAAATATTAATTGCTAGTTCTAGTAATCATCATCATTTTCTACAATGTTTTTGTTAGCTCACAGCTAAACATTAAAGGACACAATTTATTTTTGTATGGAGAATGGGCTCATCACAAATTTTGGTGTAACATAATGAAATACATGTCGATTTATTCCTTATAACTTGGGTTCCCAACTCTCCAGGATTGCCCGGGAGACTCAGGTAACAATGGTCAATCTTACGACCTCCTGGGGTGCAATAATTTCTCCGGTTTTTACTAAAAAATTATACGTGTCGCACATGTAGCACGTGTCGCTACTCACTCGCCTTGCGGTCACACACAACACGACACCGTGCGCCACTGCCGGTGTTACCGGTGTGACGTTGTCGATTCGGTGGTGTCTGTCTCTGTCACACATTTAAAATTAATAAATAATTGAGTTTTCTTTCACCCCCCCTACACAATTTCATAAAATTCTCCCGGCTTGGTCCCTTCGAGTGTTGGTAACCATACTTATAACCAACAGATTACAATAGCTTTACTGTATCTAACAGGAATACTGAGAGATTGATGGAAAATCCTTTTAATAGTTCATTCCTCGTTACACCCATTTTTTTTTTCATATTACATTAGCCAGAACATGAATATCAAAACAGCTCTTGTTTTAGATTGCATGATTCCCGTTAGATTTTCATAAAATCTTTAGGCTGTTTACTATAATAAATTGGTATCTTTAAAATTTTTAGTGGTCCCCAAAAGAGATTGTCTCCTTTGCGTTATACTACACTTTAAATAGATGTCCTGGCATTGTCTACATACATATCTTTACTATCCCATGTTGTTTTTTACTGCATCTATGTAATGAGTAATAACTTACTCAATTCTCTTTGAAGTTGTTTTTATATTTGCTAAAATTTGTTCTAGATAACAGAAAACATACGAAAGGCTCTGCAATCATCAACAAAAGTGAAGACTGCATCTAAAATTCATCTTATGAGGATTAAACAAAAGGCCCTAGGTCCAAAATCTATACCCGCTTCAGATAGAGTTTATTTTGCTATAAGGAAACCAATAAACATGGAGCCAAAACCTGTTAGAATTATAACAGATGAAGAAAATGTGGTACAAATTGAATCTGTGACTTTAGACCCTGATTTAAAAGACACAGTCCCAATATTTATTAGTTCTAAGTGGAGTCTTGGTAGAGTATTAGACAGTATATGTGATACATGTAATTTAAAAAATGATAACAACAAGTTTGGAGATGCAAAACTTAGGCTTTTTAGACAACTGGACGGATACTGTGTTAGTCCGTCAAAAATGGATGTAGAAATGGCTGATTTAATAAAGAACGAAATTTTATTAGAAGGTGATAAATTAGTTGTGGAGTATATTAGCAATGATGTATTAAGTAAGTTAGATGAATATTCTCAATTGTTTTTGTTAATTCAATAATAAATAATAGGCACAGATTAGAAAAAACGATCAGTAAAAATTGTAACCTCAAAAAAATCACTTAATACAATCAAAAAATTCCATGTATTTTTTCTTATAAAATCGTTATGTACCCCACGGTAACAAGTATTAAGAGCTTCGCTGCGTCGCAGCGCATTTGTAAATAGGATAATAATGTTGTGCTGGGGGTCATTGTAGAAGCGTGCTCGTCGCGACCCCTGCTAGCCCTTTTCAGGGCTGCAATTCTACTAGCTGCGCACCCATGGCAACGAGGATTAGGGCGTCCCCCCAAGGCGACGCACACCAGCTCGTCCCCGTTGGTGTGGAATGCAGCGTGCAAAGCGGCGATGGGGACCGCCACCCGTCACGCACAGCCCGACACGGCGGAAGGTGGAGGACAGAGTGCAGAGTTGGCACGTGGAATGTTAGAGGAGGCATGAGAGATAAGACGAATGAGTTGATCGAAATAATGAAAGAAAGAGAATTAGATGTCGTGTGTATGTCGGAGACCAAACGGAAGGGCAGTGGTACTGAAGAGCTCCCTGGCGGGGCGTTAGCTCTATGGTCCGGAGTCCCGGAGAGCGAGAACGCCTGCCAGGGAGTGGGGGTGCTGCTGTCTTCTCGGTTGGTCGATGTTATGACTGAATATAAGGTTGTGAACTCAAGACTTCTCTGGGTTCGCTTTAAATTGGGACTGACGAAGTTATTCCTTTTGGCTGTTTATGCGCCGGTAGCTTCGTCGTCCAGGGCTGAGCTGGAGGAGTTTTGGGAGAATGTAAGAGAAGTTCTAGATTTGGCTAGGGGAAACGAAAGAATTGTTGTATGTGGTGATTTGAATGGATGGGTTGGTACCGCTCGACCAGGGTACGAGTCGGTACTTGGAAAGTTTGGCGATAAAAGGGTTAATGATGCTGGCAAGCTTATACTGGCGGTGTGCAAGGAAAAGGGTCTTCTTGTGACAAACACTATGTTTAATCACAAGAAAATCCATATGTATACTAGAGAACGAAAGAATGAGAGAAGTATGATTGATTTGTTCCTGGTGGATGACCGACTGCGAAAACAGGTGATGGATACGCGAATGTTCAGGGGTGCTGACCTGGGAACGGATCACTATCTAGTGATTACTAGATTTAGGGGTCTGTTCGCGGGTTGGCGCTACCGGACGGCAGTAACAGAACCACAGTCGGTCTGTCGCATCCGAAGCTGGAAGCTTCAGGAAGCGGATAGTAGGGACAAATATCATGCGAGGGTAGCCGAAAAGCTTGACACCATCGATGGCAGAAAAGAATGTGTAGAAAGAACTTGGCAGAACCTTAGGGATGGAATGGTAAGTGCAGCGGAAGAAGTGTGTGGAACAATAAAAAGAGGCAGTAGTAAAAGAAGAGATGCATGGTGGAATGATGAAGTGAAAGAAGCTGTAAAGAAGAAGAAGAAAGCATGGTTAGACTACTTGGCCTCTAGTAATGATAAGGATATGAGAGAGAAGATGAAAGAAAGATATAGGCTGCAGAAAGTTCACACGAAAGCACTGATTGAGGAAGTGCGTGAAAGGTGTAGAATGGAAGCGGACGAAAGGTTGTCGCACAACTTCAAGGAGAAATCCAAACTCTTCTGGAAAGAGGTTGGAAGGACCCGAAGTGGTGCGACGGCCTTAAGAATGAATAAAGTGCTTTCGAGAACTAATGACGTCCTCTCAGAAAAATCGGACGTCATGCAGCGATGGAGCGAATTTTATAGAGAAATGTATGCGTGTGATGATCTTAGTGAGGGATCCGGGGATGACGCCGTGACTGGTACGCCAGACCCGGACCTCGATGACACTGAGGTCATCAGTATGAAAGAGATTGAACGTGCGATTCGAAGTTTGAAATGTGGTAAGGCTGCGGGACTAGACAGAGTTACTGCTGAAATGGTCAAGTATGGTGGGCCTCGCGTCTGGGACAGCTTTCATCTGCTGTGCAATTTGTGCTGGCGGACGGGGGATGTCCCGGATGATTGGCGATCCGCAGTCATTGTGCCTTTATATAAAGGTAAAGGTTCACATTTTGACTGCGGGTGCTATCGGGCGATCAGCTTGACCAGTTTAGCAAGTAAAGTTTACTCGAAGGTTTTGACACGTAGGATGCAAGAGAAATCGGAAAGATTTCTATGGGAGGCACAATGCGGATTTAGACCTGGAAGAGGATGCACGGATCAAATGTTTTCTCTCCGCATGATCACGGAGAAGCTTCTGGCTGCTAACCAGAAGATTTTCTGTGCTTTTGTGGATCTTGAGAAAGCATTTGATAAGGTTGTAAGGAAGAAAATGTGGGAACTGTTGCCGGGGTATGGTGTGGATGGTCGATTGCTAAGGGCTGTGCAGTCTCTTTACTGTGACTGTAAAGCCTGTGTGCGGGTAGGGCATGACCTGCCACCCATGTTTAACGTCCAAACGGGCGTAAAGCAGGGTTGTGTCATGTCTTCCTGGCTGTTCATACTGTATCTCGACAGCTGTTTACAGAAGCTGAAAGATAGTTGTTTGGGTGTGAAATTGGGTGACATTAAAGTAAATTGTCTGCTGTATGCTGATGATGCAGTGCTTATTGCACCATCAGAGGCAGAACTGCAGGCATTAGTCACGTGTATGAAAGAGGAATGTGAAATTAAAGGTCTCCGTTTGAATGCTAATAAAACTAAGGTTCTGGTATTTGAAAGGGACGAAGAGAGAACGAAGTGTGAAATATGGGTAAATCAGCAATGTCTAGAACAGGTAAATGAAATTGTATACTTGGGGAGTGCTTTTAGCCGCGATGGAAGATGTGATTTAGATGTGGACAGGCGTGTCGCTGCCGGGAACAAAGTCAATGGTGCCCTGACTGCGTTAGTCAAAAGGCAAGGCGTAGCGAAGAGTGCACGCCTTGCAATACATAACGCAGTGTTGGTACCGACTTTGTTATATGGCAGCGAAACCTGGGTATGCCAGAAGAAGCATAAAAGTAAGTTGAATGCAGTGGAGATGCGATCTCTTCGTAAAATGTGCGGCGTTACCATGGCCGACCGAAACCGAAACGAAGAGATTCGCAATATGGCAGGTTTGAAAGATGACCTTATCACAAAAATTGATAAGGGCGTGCTTCGGTGGTTTGGGCACGTTGAGCGAATGAGTGAAGACCGAATGGTGAAGAAAATATATAGCGCGAAAGTTAATATTAAAAGGTGTCGAGGTAGACCGAGACTAACTTTCGAAGACCATGTGAGCAAATTGTTCGAAGAGGGTAGGGTCAAAAGTACTCGGATACCTAGACGTGCATGCATGAAGAAGATAATGAATCTGAAAGAAGCGAAAGAGGTTTGTAAGGATCGTGACACTTGGCGATCTGTTCTCTCTGGCTACCCCGTCAGGGATTGTGCGTGAAGATAAGTTTAAAGTTAAGTATAATAATGTTTAAAATTTGTAAATAGGATGTAGCGTGTCCGGTCACGGACTAGCGATATTCTATGTACGTACATATTACACTGTTTTAATACACACATACACTACATACTGAGGTCTAATCCTCTTCCCCTCTATGTTTTATAGTTGTTACGGTGGCGATACGTTACATGGTATGCCCGCGCCATGATTCCGTTGCGGATACACGCAGCGGGATCCGTCGCACCCACTGCGGGAACCGTCACACACACTGCGGGATCCCCGGTTAAAGCTGTAGTGTACCCCCGTACAGTGTTACCATAATTATTTTTCTATTTATTTATTCCTTTTTTTTATAGAAGAGGGGGCAAACGTGCATGCCGCTCACCTGATGGTAAGTGACTACCGCCGCCCATGAACAACCGCAACACCAGGGGAATTGCAGATGCGTTGCCGGCCTTTTAGAAAGGTGTAAGCTCTTTTCTTGAAGGTTCCTAAGTCGTATCGGTCCGGAAAATTCGCTGGTGGTAATTGATTCCATAAGGAAGTTGTGCAAAGGAGAAAACTTCTTTTAAATCGCACAGTGGATGGTAACGCGAGTTTTGTCGCGATGTGTGATGGTGAAATTGAGCGGCTGGAATTAGTCCGAACAATTCCTCAGAGCACTCCCCGTGATAGATGCGATAAAATACGCAAACAGATGCAACATCTCTACGCAGTGCTAGTGTATCGAGCCGATCAGAAAGAACTCGGTCGTCGACGATTCGAACTGCTCTGCGCTGGATGCGGTCAAGTGGAAGGAGCTGGCACTGGGGTGCCCCGGCCCAGAGATGAGAACAGTATTCCATGTGGGGCCGAACTTGCGCTTTGTAAAGTTGCAAACGATGTGCCGGCATGAAATACTGTCTCGCTCTGCTGAGCACGACAAGCTTTTTAGAGGCCAATTTGGCCTTCCCTTTCAAGTGACCACGAAACTGCACACTATTCGATATGTCGACGCCAAGGATTCCGATACTAGCTGAGGCAGCAAGGGGAGTGCCTTGAAGCTGAGGAGATACGACAAAGGGGTTCTTTTTAGCGGTAAACGCGCAAACTTGTCTTCTGGGGATTGAACTGGACTAGTTTTAGTCGCCCCAAATCCGAGACTTTGTTAAGCAAAGACTCGACTTCAGACACAAGTTTGTCCCTGTACTCGGCGACGTTTTCCCGAGAAATATTGGCACGGCCGGTATATAAGGCATCACCAGTGCTGTCATCCGCATAGCAATAAATGCTACCAGTTAGCAACATATCATTGATATGCAGGAGAAACAGCGTTGGTGATAGCACGCAGACTTGTGGAACACCAGCATTGATAGTCTTGAAATCAGAGCATGCACCGTCTACTACGACCTTGATGCTCCGATCAGCAAGGAAACTGGTGATCCATTTGCACAATTTCTCGGGAAGCCCACAGGAAGGAAGCTTCGCAAGAAGCGCTTTGTGCCAGACCCGATCGAAGGCCTTCGCTATGTCCAAACTAACGGCCAATGCCTCCCCCTTGGACTCTACTGCCTCCACCCATCTATGAGTCAGATAGACTAGAAGATCACCAGCTGATCGACCTCGACGAAAACCGTACTGGCGGTCACTAATCAGCTGGTGATCCTCAAGGTACCTCATGAGCTGGCAGTTTATAATGGATTCCATTATTTTGGAGAACAAGGAGGTGATTGCGATAGGCCTGTAGTTGGACGGGTCTGAGCGGTCGCCTTTTTTAGGGATCGGGTGGACCAAAGCTGTTTTCCATGAATTCGGGACTACGCCTTGGGAGTAGGAGTACCGGAAAACACGCGTTAAAACCGGTGCAAACTCCGGAGCACATGTCTTCAGCACAATGGGAGGGACTCCATCGGGCCCACTCGACTTGCTGACGTCCAGGGAGAAGAGTGCTTTGCGGACCGAGCGCTGTGTAAACCGCACATCCGGCATGGAGCACTCACATTGCGGGATGGTCGGCGATGTGTTCCCCCCGTCATCTAGAGTCGAGTTGGACGCAAAGAGAGAGCTCAACAGATCGGCTTTCTCCTTTGCGGCATGGGCCAGTGAGTCGTCCTCTCTGTGCAGAGATGGCGGACAGAAGTTCCCTTGGACAGCCTTGGCGAGAGACCAGAATGCACGGGTTCCCGAAGGAAGGCGAATTAGCTTCTCGCCAATTCTGCCGATGTGCTCAGACCTTGCCTTGGCAATGACGCTTTTGAAGGACCTGGAGGCGGAATTATACTTCTTTTTAAGTGCGCTGGTGCTTACATCCCGAGACGTTGATGCGTCAGCCCAGGCCCGTTAGCACTCCTGCTTATAGTGTGATGCTATTTTATAGGAGTGACCAAACCATGGCTAGGATCTGCTTCCGATGGGCACCACAGAGTATGGAATAAAAAGTTCCATACCCTGAAGTATCACATCAGCAACAGAATTGGCAACAACGCTGGGATCTTCCGGCGAGAAGCAAACCCAAGGGTAGGATGCAAAAAAAGACCGCATCCCGTCCCAATCAACTGACCTATAGTGCAAAACACGGCGGCAAGCTGCAGATCGCAACTGCGATTGGAGCGTGAGTGGCACCGTACTCCGGATCATACAATGGTCTGAAGAGCCCAGAGGGCCATCGACGGAGACCTGATATCCGTCCGGATGAGAGGTCAGCAGAAGGTCCAACAGGGAAGGTACATGGCCTTCCACGTCTGGGATCCGCGTAGGCGAAGTAACTAGTTTTGTTAGACCATATTCCAAAGCAAAGTCATAGACAGATCTACCCGCATGATCGGTTAAACGAGAACCAAGCCATTCAGCGTGGTGGGCGTTAAAATCACCGAGTATCACGATCTCTGCGGATGGGACCTGTTGTAGCACAGAGTCTGCAGCCATTTGGACGTGGTCGATGAGTCGGTCCGTGTCGGCATTACCACTATGGGACCTATAGAGGCACCCGTAGACGCGCGGATGGTCGTCGCTGTCTACGCGTAACCAAAGGATGGACAGGTCCGTACCTTCAAGACTGCCGAGGCGTCGAAAACAGATGTCCTTTCTGACTTATACGCAAACTCCAGCCCGGGGCACAAAGGAGTGTTCCAATTTGTACCCCGGGTAGGAGAGATATGAAGTATCAGCCGGAGAGGACACCTGAGTCTCGGTTAAAAAGGGCAAGGCCGGCTTCGCCGTCTCTAGATGTTAATGGACAGCGTTAAGGTTGGAACGAAGTCCCCTGATGTTGCAAAAATTCACGGATAGCGTGACAGGGGTCGCCTTGATTGTATTGCTCCGCTTGCCCCGAGCAGCGTTAGTCACGAGCGGAATTTTGCCCCGGAGAATACGCGGGGCAGCCTGAGCACCCACGCTCAGGAGTGAAGTAGTTTGGTTGTGGATGCTCAGCGAGGGATTCTCCAGTGGTGCTGGTACCCCCTGGGGTAGTCTTTTATTTAATTCCACTACCATATTGATGGGGTGGGGGGGAATTGGGCCTCCGACCACCTGCACTCACCAAGCGCAACGCAAAGGTAAACCTCTACTTCACGCTGGTATTCTGTGTGGTCGTGGTACCACCCCGGTTCGAGCTGGCCCATCCGTGCGACAGCAAAAGCTACCGCTTGGCTCTACCACTGTTACCATGTCCTGACGAGCTATTCCGTCGTTAGAATTAATTTGCCATTTCCCATATTCATTATAATATACAGTGTGTCCGTCGCGGACTATCGATATTCTAGGTATATATAACAACTACTTATTTTAATACACAAACACACTACACACTGAAGTCTAATCCCCTTCCCCTCTATGTGACAGCCATTTTGTTTTTTTCTTGAGATGTTCTCTATGTGTGTACAAAAAAAGCATCTCTCAAAGTTTTGGTGTCGTGTTGAGTTGAGATAAAAATAGGCTTATTTGGAGGATAATCATATGCATTTGATAAAATGGTTATTTAAAAAAAATATAAACAAAGAGGTGAATCAAAAAACTGGAGGTGTATGTAATATAACACAAACTGTAATAAATAATAGTTTATTTATATCAAACATAGTTACATCTAAACTTAACAAGTAATTAAAGCAAAATTTCACCATTTTCTTTGCTGACCTGCGATTGCGATTTGTTACAGTCGATCAGGGGGACGTGGGGCGCTGGGGCGGAGGGGTTCGTGTGCGCCGTGGGAGGCGGGGTCGCCGCCAGCTTGTACTTCTCTACCAACCAGTTGCACTTCCCGGTCCGTGCTATCAGTGTTATGAAATCCCGTCGGTACTGCTTCGTTAGAATAGCGTACAGGAATGGATTTGCACAGGCGTTCAATGGGTAGAAGAACACCAACAGAACTTTTCCGTGGCTTACGTCCACTAAGGGTACTCCAGCTAGCGCTGTAACACCGAAGAAGGCAACTGGAGCCCAGCAGAGCAAGTCAGTGCCAATTAACAGCGCCATTTTGTTCGCTATCCGGCGCTCTGCCGCGGCTGCCGCCCCCCTCCCACCGTAACTTTCTCCTCCCCCACCCAAAGACCTGTATATTTGTACATAGCACACCACGATAGTAACCCAGGCTACAGCATTAGTGAGGAACAAGGAGCCCTGGTATACTGCGTCGCCGACGCCCACGCTCTCAACTGGTAAGCATATGGAAGTAGAAGAATAGTCGGAGACACCGACAAGAGGCAGTCCAGCCATTAAAATGGAAAAGATCCACCCACAAATCATGATCTTCGCGGCAACACCCAAGGAAATTCGTCGCTCTAAGTAAATTGCGTATGTTATTGCAAACCAGCGTTCCAACGTCACGATCGTTAAAGTGTACACGGAGAGTTGCCCAGAAAACACCGAAAGGAACCCGGCTATCTTGCAACCGGTGCCGTACTGCCAACTGTACGCGTAATTGAAAAATTCTCCATACGATCTTAGGTCTACAGCCGCTAACATGAAGAGGTATAATCCCGTGCACAGGTCGGAGAAGGCTAGATGGCACATGAGGAATCTGGGTACGGTGAGTTCCGAATGGTTGGTGAGCAAGACCAGTAGGACAGCGATGTTCCCGACTACAGCGGCCGCGATGACGAACCAGACGCTCGATCGCAGCCAGAACCAGCCCATGACGTCTTCGCACGGGTTCAGTGCGTCCGGTAACGGTGTACACTCTACTTTACGTCGACTGTAAAAGGTAAAAACATAGTCTCAGCATTTCGATTGAATTGAATAGAACCTCTTCACTAGCAAAAATTTTATATAATTCGACATTATTTACGACTAAGATCAGAATGCTCGAACATAATGAGCTTTCTTCGATTTTCTTTAATTGTGTATATAAATTAATAATTTGATTAGGTCAAATAGTATTTAAGTAAACAAATAGTCTACAATATTATAGTGAATTTCTTAACGTTTCTTCTCACAAGAGCTTCTCTCGCGGAAAACCCGCAGTTGCGGCAAAAACGGTATCAGTAATAATTACATCTAAATTTAACAAGATAATTAATAAAACTACCTACTTTTATTTAAATGTGTATTGTTCACGTAAACATAAGAAATCATTAAAAGTACATAATATTCTGCTATTATAGTTTAATAGAAGTTATCCGGTCCGTCTTGTTACACATTATGGTTTATTTCATAGTCTCGGTTTAAACTATGGTTTAAGAATATATAAGTCTTTGTAACTAAAGAAATCCCTTAGCCGCGGTGTCACACTATTCAAAATTCGCCATTGCCAGCCTATAATTGTAATTATCCTGGCTCAGTGACTATTATACCCTTCAGACCGTAATACACTCAGGCACTGCTTCCTAGCCACATGGAAACCTAGGCAGGAAAAGGAGTCCTACTATTATCTTGTATGTGATATTTTATACTTACACAAGCTTTTCGGCCCGCGGTGTTACCCGCGTGCGAGTTACAGTTGCCATGTTCATTTATTTTATTTACTAAGTACGTTCAATAAGCTTCAAGTCAATTGCCTCGTTAAATAAAAAATTCTATACAAACTAAATTAGAAAAGTTAAAAGCTAAGTTGGACAAGAAAAGTACTGTACCAGCTGTTCAAAAAGATAAGCCAGAGATATAGTTACAATTTTTATAATAAATTTGATATTTTGTCTGATATCTTGCTAACTTGTTTTCTTTATTTATAACTATGTTGCTAATTAATGGTTTTTTTATATCTGAAGTGAGAATAAAATACCTTGTGGTAGGTAGTGAAAGGTAGTGAAAGGTAATGAAGTAGGTAATTCACGGATAGCGTGACAGGGGTCGCCTTGGTCTTATTGCTCCGCTTGCCTTGAGCAGTTTTGGGCTTAGCTTTCCATTGACGTCCGTCGAGTTGGGTGTTGATAAGTATTTTTACAGAAAAGTTACACTATTATAAGCACACACACAAAGTTTCAATATGCGGAAACGCGTAATTTTTGAGTAGAAAATTATTGAAAATCAATTATTCTAGCAATGTTTATGTCTAATCCTACCGTAAAACTGGCGCCATTTTGTAATGTCATTGTCGTCGTCAGTAGGGATGTCGATTCTTTCCGAAAGATTCAAATCGTAAGCTGATGTATCGATTCACAAAAAATCGATTTCTAAAATATCTATATTTTTTTCATGAATGCATTTATAATGTAAATATAAATCCATTTTATGAAAAACAAGAAAGATACCATAATAAATGATAACAATAAAAAATGGCGTCAGTTTTACGGTAGGAATTAACATAAATATTGCAAAAATAGTTGATTTTCAATATTTTTTTTCCAAAAATTACGTGTCCCCGAATGTTGAAACTTTGCGTGTGTGCTTATAATAATGTAACCTTTCTGTAAAAAAAATATCAATCCCCAACTCGACGGACGTCAATGGAAAGTCTTACCCTAACTGTAACACTATTTCTTTATACATATCTTTATATGTAAAAATAACGTGTCACATTGTTTGTCCGCGATGAACTCTTAAACTACTGAACTGATTTCAATGAAATTTTGCACACTGTATGCAGTTTCGTCCAACTTGAGAGATAGGATAGTTTTTATCCCGATAAGTGACCCTTAACATTTTTTATTAGGAATTTAAGGTCTTTTTTTATTGGAGAAAGGGTCGTCTTAGGAAAGGGTAGAACAACGTCTGCCTGTCCTATATATATATATATATATATATATATATATATATATATATATATATTCAAATAAGACCTTTAGTAAATAGCTGGAGGAGTTACCTCATACTGAAGTTTCCACATGATGCAAAGTAAGCGACGCCGATAGGGATAGTGTTGTTGACCAGCTCGTGAAAGTCGCCCCGCTCGTCGTCCTCGAAGCTGCCCGAGTCGGAGAAGTAATCATCGTCCGTCACCTGGTCGTATTCCTCGCTGGTTGTTGCCGATGAATCCTCCGGTAAGGGGCTGCAACGTTGATTGTTTAATAAGTAAAAGATATACAGATAAAATAAATCGGAATATATATCTATCTCTCCATCCATCCATTACAGATTTGCTAGCTGACCATAGGCCTCTCCCATAGATTGCCTCATCGAGAGGATTTTGCCATAGTTGCCACGTTTGGCAGGCGGGTTGGCAACCGCAGTTTTTTATTATTTTGAAACTGTTGTTATCATCAGATAGGTGCTGCTGCCCACCTCCTGTTTTAGTTTCCATCTGTTGCCTCTCACGACATCCCGGGGATGATATAGGATAGTGGATATACTTACACTGCTACTACACGGTTTATTCGAAACATATATATATATATATATATATATATATATATATATATATATATATATATATATATATATATATATATATATATATATATATAACGACCAAAAATTCAAAAGAAGAAAATAACTTACTCTTGCGCGTTACTGACGTCAAATTTAAATGCACTGTTTGAATTCAGAGATCGTTTCCGCCTCTGCGATGCTGAAAGATGCTGGCACCTCTGTCAAAAAGAAAATAATTGGTAATTTTAGATAGGATAAAGAATCGCTTAAATACAATATAGCCTTTGCTATGGCCACGCATACTCTTATGGTGGTACACTGTAGTCGAATTCCCAGTAGAGCCAACATTTGTGCAAAAGCACAAACTGTTAGTTTACGGAACTGGTTGTTTTGTGACTGTTCACGTTTCACCTTCGCAGCATATCGGCAGGACCCAAAGGGTAACCAACGGCACCCTATTACTAAGCCTCCGCTGTTCGTCCGTCTGTCAGCGGGCTATATATCATGATCCGTAATAGGTAGACAGTTAAAATTTTCACAGAATGTGTATTTCTATTGCCGCTATAACAACAAATAATAAAGATTACAAGTGGTAAAATTAAAATATTTGTATAACTGAATTCAATATAAATATAATTTATTGTTGATTTTTTAAAAACCGCTTGACCGATTGCGATAAAATTTAAATGGGAATTGTAAACCTGTTCTCCTTTTTGAAGTCAGTTGAAAAGGAGCTCCCCCTACTAGAAACGTGTTTTACGATGGTACGGAACCTTTATGCGCGAGTGCGACTCGCACTTGCCCGGTTATTTTACTCTGTATCGCTATAGCTACTCGTACGTCAAATTGTCGCTACTTCATGATATGACTGGTATCAAGTCCGATCTTTGTACTTTGTAATAAGAAATGAAATAAAGAATAAATGTATTCTATACCTTTGTATTCTCTTGTAATAATAATAATAATAGTCTTCCAAAACGAAATTCGGTCACAGCGGCCTTTATGGCATTCCTTATTATAATATGTCTATAAAATGAATAAATAATAACAATAATTGTCTTCTTAGGGTGGGTACAGATCAAGTAACATGTTGTATAACTTTTGTTTTATAATACGTGTTACGGCCTACGGCTGCTCCCATAAAGGTCAAATCCTCAGGGGCCCATTCAGCTGAGTTTCGACGAGCAGACATAGGTCGGGCCTCCTAAGGCCAAAGTGGAAAATCTCTAGTTACACTAAACAATAAGGGGGAGCGTTGGAATTTCCCATCACAATAAACTATATGGGAGGAAGCTAGAAACACATAGTACATACCATTATCCGAAGCTAACTTCGCACCAAGGTTTGGGCAGGCCGTGAGTGTGTGTAATAGTGGATGGCGAGTAGTGTACAGTGAGGTGTGAATGTGTGGGGCCTTGGAAAGCATAGGTGACCAGCAGTGACTTCTAGAATATCAAAGACCGCTTTAGCTAATATTGTCGAATGCACTTATACAGATTCTGAGTCCGACACAATGAGTCCCTGGGAAGCTCTCCAGCAAGGAATGCGCGTCACAAATCCTAGACAGAATATTTATTACTATCCGCGCCTAATTATTCCGAGTTACCGAAAAAAAATGACAGCGTGCTGGCGTTAGCACCGCTGGCAGACGACTGCTGCGCTTGCGCGTTCTACCGCACGACCGAAAGTCAAACCGGTATGGCACCGAGTCGCGCGCCCTCTGATGTCGATACAACAAAACAGCGTTTGGCGCGAACAATACGTCCACATTATGTAACTAATTGTTTTTCAACATTGCGACATCTAACAATACTGTACACATTAGACTAACAATGCAATATAACAATGTTATATGATATTGTCGTTTATCATTCTGCCGTTCGAGTTATATATTCAGCCTCCACATTACTGAGACATGTTATGTAACAACGTTTTATAAATAGTTATTTTAAATAATGTGTACGTACCGTTAGATAACATTTAAAATGATTAAGTAGTTGTCGCCGTTATAGAATTAAACCATAAAGAAACATTTTTCAAATTTGAATAGGTATATCAGTTGAGGAGAACGTGTAGACTCGAATTTTTTTTTTTATAGGATAGGGTGACAAACGCGCACACAGTCCACCTGATGGTAAGTGGTTGCTGTGACCCATAGACTTCTACATTTATCCTCAATAAAGAATCAAAATGCAGATGCGTCGTCACCCGTGATGACTGATATGGAATGCCTCTTTTTCAGTAAAAAGGGTCCCCGGTTCTCTACACTCACCATACGAACTAAACACAGCAGTGTCAAGCTGTCATTTTACGCTGGTATTCTGTGAAAGCATGGTCAGGAATCCATATCCACTGCACCATACCATCTCGTGAGTGTCGTAAGAGGCGACAAAAGACTACTGAAACAGGAGTTGGACATCAGCTTGATAATAACAACTATAAATAATAGAAAATTGCGGTTGTCAACCCGTCTACCACGCGTGGAAACTATGGCAAAATCCCCCCTATGAGGCAATCTACAGGGGAGGCCTATTTTAAGCAGTGGACTTTTGTAGACTGTAACGGTTTATGTGTGGGTATCAGGTGAGGAGTTTATTTATAGTACCTGTGCCATCATAGCCTTCTGTGTTTCATACAATGCGTGGCGCATAGGGTTGTGCCGCTCGGGGAACGCGAACGCGCAGCAGTGGAAGTGATGCGTCAGGAACGCTTTCTGCAAATTCTGTACACAAAAATAAATCTTTAGATTGGTAAAACGTCAAAAATTTTATAATATATACCTTAGTTGTTTATAAGGAACAAAGTATTTTTGGCTTGCGTAAAAGTACGATGGTAAGAGGTCAGTTGGCTACAGCCAAGTACCTTAACGTAGAGCAATGCTGCAACTATATTATTTTAGGTGTAGCACGAATGGTTGTATGGTGTAGAATGAATAGAATAATTTTTTATTCAATATAGATCACATGTGTAATTTTTATTGAAAGCCATATTTTACTTTACCACTGGTTCGAAAAAAACCCTCTGTCCTAGGAAGAAACAGCAAGAAATCCAGCGGGAGCTTTTTAAAGTAAATTTTACATTAATAGTTGTACAAACTATTTACAAAATTTATTTTAGAAACTGCTTGGAAGAGACCACCTCATTCCCAGGGGTTATTATATCTGTAGAGAGAACCTGTACCCTTTCCGGGACCTTGATGTAATAGCGTATACATTGCCCCAAGAATGAATTACTGACTCTTTGGGAGTCGAGAAACTGGTATCACTAACTTGTGTTTGTTCCTAGTGTTTACAGAGTGTATATCACTTTTTTTTACGAAAACTACCTTTGTTTTTGTGAACACAGATAAAATTTTGTAAACATACTAAGAGGCCAAAGTGAATATATTTTTTTTAAATTTATTTCTAAGAGACTCGGTTTTAGGTTGTAAATAGGTCTAATGGCCCTCTTCTGTAAAACAAAAATAGTTTTTGAATCAGCCCCATTTCGCCACAGGAAAATCCCGTTATATGTTATGCTATGGAAATAACTGAAATAAATTAATCTAGCTGTCTTGACATTAGTGAGAACTCTAATCTTTTTTACAGCATAGGCTGCAGAACTTAGTCTGCTTGCTAGTTTGGATATATGGGGGATTCACTGAAGCTTTGCGTCGAGAGTGATGCCAAGAAACAGTGGATTCAACAGGGCTCAGTTCTTCCCCAGTTAAAATACATTGGTTAGATTTTTAACATTCGATCTTGTAAATTTAATACATTTAGTTTTATTTACGTTTAAATGTACATTATTAACGTTGAACTAATGCACTAATTTTATTATTCACTATCTATATATAATAGCATTATTCACTTCGTCACATCTAAATGATTGACGTTTAAGTTTAAAATCAAGGAAGTATTATCAGCAAATAATACTATGTCATGATTATCCCCTACAAAGGAAGGTAAGACATTAATATACGCTAGAAATAGGAATGGGCCGAGAATCAAGCCTTGAGGGACCCTACTATTGATAATAACTTTCTGCATTCTATTACTTAAATATGAAATAATAAGTTTAAGCGCTGTGTTCTTGACACCATAATACTGCGTTTCCTGATTAATGTCTCATGGTGAACACAGTCGAAGGCCTTAGAAAGGTCACAAAATTATATCCAATGCATCCTCTGAATTCTCCCATGCACAAAAATTATGTTTAATAAGCTCAACTTCAGCGTCAGTTGTCGAGCGACCCCTTGTAAAACCGAATTGATTTTTATGAAGCAATTTATTAATATTAAAGAAACTTAACATCTGAACTAAAATATTTTTTTCAAAAATTTTACTAAATGTTGGGAGTACAGAAGTTGGTTTAAAATTGGCGGGGTCTAATGTACTACCAGGTTTAAATAAACGTATGACTATACTATGTTTCATTAAATCAGGAAACACACTAAATTCTTTGCTTGTATTAAATATAGTGTCTAGATAAGGTGCTATTGTATCTATTATAGATACGAAGCATTCCATCTTTGTCCTCAGGGGTGACAAAGCGTCTGCATTTGGATTGGATTTTTACTCGAGGAATTTTTATCTGATAATTAAACAATCTGTTCTTAAGCTAACAAAATCTATGTATGAGTACCTGAAATTCGTAAATAGACGGAATGTATTTCAGGGATGGAGTTTTCTCTATTCTTAGTATCTCCAGTTTTTCAAGGCCTTTTGTTGGTAGAGAGGTGATCGCTGTGTTACTCAGGTCTCTGTTAAAAAAAGAAGTTTATTTTCCTTTTTGAAATATTTTCGTTGACAGAGAAATGGATAGAGTTCAAAAATTTATTACAGAAACCTAATCCTGTTGAAAAAAAAGTTATATGTTTCTCCTCGTAATATTTTTTCGTTGTAATAGAAATGTAGGTACGTAAGGGTAATATGGTTATCCGGATAACATAGTCACTTTCTTATAACTGATAGCTCTTCATCAGTCAATCAAGTAATAAATGGTCAAACGGGCTCTGCTTTATCGACGCCATTCTGACAGTTGACATTATGAAAAATATTTTAGTTGATTTTAGTATGTATTGAGTAGTGTAGTTAGTTTTTTTAAGATGATTTTTCAACGTGTTCCTCATTATTGCCAAATATTGTTTGCTATTTTTTTTTCTTAATATATTAGCTATAGTATACGACTTTGTGTTTTTGTCTTTGTTTTCCTCCTAGTTTATATTTTATAGGACGGCAGAGCTTAAGGTGACCATATTACCCTCACGTACCCTACTCGAAATTCATAGAGTTATTAAATACGGGATTAAAACTATGTATGTTTAATTTAATAGAGCTAAGTTTTGCAAGACCCGCCGCAGAAGAACACAAAAACTCTCCGATCACACTCTTAATCTCATGGCTGTTAGACGGGATATAAAGCTGCAGTCTTCAGTAGATTTGACAGCATACAGGCAACTGAACAGACAGATCTCCAAATGCATGCAACGGGACTTACGCAACTTTAATACTGTTCGTATTGAAGAAGCGATCGAGCGGAACCAGGGCTCCAAAGTCTTTGCTAGAGATCTGTCTGCCAGAAAGAGCCAACTATCGAAGCTGAAGACCGAGCGTGGCAGCGTCATTTCCGGGACACCTGAGATTTTGAGTGAGATTGAGAGGTTCTATGGGCAGCTGTACACATCATCGTTGGAGCCACACGCAAGTGTGAGTAACGATCCAAGAGCGTGTCTTATCCGACATTATTCCGATGATATCCCGGACGTCAGTCTGAGCGAGATTAGAATGGCTCTCCAGCACCTTAAAAACTGTAAAGCCCGAGGCGAGGATGGAATTACAGCGGAGCTTCTGAAAGCGGATGGAAAACCGGTGCTTGAAGTCCTTCAGAAGCTCTTTAATTCCGTCCTCTATGGTGGCATTACACCAGAGGCGTGGAGCAGAAGTGCGGTGGTCTTGTTCTTTAAGAAAGGCGACAACGCTCTCTTGAAGAACTACAGACCGATTTGACTTCTGAGCCGCGTCTACGTGCTGTTTTCGAGAGTCATTAAGAATCGTCTCGCGTGCAGACTTGACGACTTCCAGCCTCCCGAACAAGCCGGTTTCCGAAAAGGCTTTAGCACCATAGACCACATACATACCCTTCGGCAAATTGTACAGAAGTCCGAGGAGTACAATTTGCCACTATGTCTGGCGTATGTGGACTATGAGAAAGCCTTTGATTCCGTCGAAATTTGGGCGGTGCTGCAGTCCCTTCAGCGGTGCTAAGTTGACTATCGGTATATCGAAGTGTTGAAGTGCTTGTACAGTAGGGCTACGATGGGTATCCGAGTACAGAACCAGAGTACGAAACCTATCCAATTGCAGAGAGGTGTAAGACAGGGTGACGTCATATCCCCGAAACTTCTCACCGCTGCATTGGAAGACGTTTTCAAGCTTCTGGACTGGAAAGGATACGGTATCAACATCAATGGCGAGTACATCACTCACCTTCGATTTGCCGACGATATAGTCCTTATGGCAGAATCGTTGGAGGACCTAAGCACGATGCTCAATGACCTCAATAGTGTTTCCCAACGGATAGGGCTTAAGATGAACATGGACAAAACAAAGATCATGTTTAATGTCCATGTCACACCTATGCCGGTAGTTGTTGGGAGCACTAAGTTCGAAGTTGTTGACGAGTATGTTTACCTGGGACAAATATTCCGACTAGGTAAGTCCAACTTCGACCGAGAGGTCAATCGACGGATTCAACTCGGTTGGGCAGCGTTCGGGAAATTACGGCACATCTTCTCGTCAGGTATACCTCAAAACTTGAAAACGAGTCTGTACAACCAGTGCGTGTTGCCAGTGATGACATATGGAACTGAGACGTGGTCCTTTACTGCTGGCCGGATAAGGAAGCTTAAGGTTGCTCAGCGAGCTATAGAGAGAACTATGCTCGGATTTCTCTGCGTGATAAACTTAGAAATGAGGATATCCGCATTAGAACCAGAGTGACCGACATAGCCCAACAGATTAGTAAGCTGAAGTGGCAATGGGCCGGCCATATAGTTCGAAGAACTGACAACCGATGGGGAAAAAAGGTTCTCGAGTGGCAGCCTCGTACTGGCAGGCGAAGTGTAGGGCGTCCCCCCACTAGATGGAGTGACGATCTGGTAAGATATGCAAGAAGTCAATGGATGCAGGTGGTTCAGGACCGTGCTTTGTGGCATTCCTTGGGGGAGGCCTATGTTCAACAGTGGACTTGTGAAGTGCTGTAATGATGATGATGACGTTTAATTTTCTTTTTCTATAATTAATAATATGACTTTAAGTAGACATACAGATGACGTAGCAAAAGGTTTCCTGCGAAGGCCAAGTCATCTAGCTGCTTTAGTTTAGCGTTGCCACGGAAACTCCTGAAAAAAGTTTCACATTAGTTCTTTACTGGAGCTACATTCCATATTTGATGATTAAACAGTAAGTAAATCATCAAAAATATCGACAATATAATTTTTATCGCATTTTATACACGAGACAAGAAATTGGTGTGTCGTTTACATTTTTTTTAATGGTACCATTATTAACAAGTGGAGGTTAACTCGTCGGTACGGTTTCGAAATTAGCCTTTCTATATTGAGAATAAGTTTTGAATATTTATTCCATTGATTCGTATCGTGTTGCGTCCGGTGGTCTTAATGATGGTGGTCTCTAATCTCTATTATGTCTAGCATCTATCAGAAATCATAGTTTGGCATTCCCAGTTGTTGTTTTTTCGATACCAAAGTGGGACCACATGACTAAATTAAAGTAATACTGAAAACAAATCTATGATTTTTAGAACTTAAGTCTATCTTTTTGTTTGTGTAAAACGCATATAACTACCAAGACAGGATTTCCGTGGGATTTATTATATGCGCTTATGCCAATATACAATACACGACAAACTCGATTTATTCTTTGATACTTACAATTTAGATATCTGGGAGTTCTTGAAAGCATGTGCGGGCACCTCTTCTATCAAGTTGTAGTTTAAGGAACTGAAAGAAAAAAAATTGGTATTTTATTAATTTTATATTAACCATTCTAAATGAGACATGAAGAAGAGTTCATGTAGAAGGTTTTTTGTTTTTTTAAACGTTATTTCCACAATAGGACTTTCTTCTGTATCGTGGGGCAGTTTACATACATAAATTTCACAAGGACAAACATCAAGACCCGAAACAATTGTTTGTAGGCCATATAAATTCTTGTTCCGTGCGGGATTCGAACCCGCGGCCCTTAGCGCTGCAACTCATTGCTAAGCCACTGCGTCACAGAACCGTTAAGCCTATGAGTACGACTGGGCAGGTACGCACACTCATTATTTATTGAATAAATGCATTTTTCCCTTAAAATTATTCCTTAAAGTCAACTGCTGGACGTTGGCCAATTCCGATGTGGACAAGACTTTTTTTGCTTTCGTCACCGGTCATGTTATTTTACATCTGGCGTTAAAGGAATGATTACAACGCCATCTATAGAAAAAGTATAGTGGTAATTTAAACATAAGAGTGAGTTTCAATAAGTATTATTTTTAAGCTACATTGAATAAAAAGTTTCTGTTTCTGTTTCCGTTTCAACGCCATCTATAGAAAAAGTAAACATTTTTCTGCCACTTTCCATTGCCGGACGGAATGTTACAATTTTTAAAAATTAGAAATACTTTTATAAAAGCATTGTACACACAAATGTGTACAATTTATCATAAACAATATTAACGAATAATAATATAAAATACGAATAATAATTAAAGATATGAAGCGAATAGAATTAAAAAAAAATCAAATCAAATAAAATAGCGTAAGGGTATGTACCTATTGACTTACACTTGATCGGCGCGTACACGGAGCGCGTGGGTCGGGATGCGCTGGATGTGATTGCCTTCTAGGTCGCTGGAGAAAAACGGATGCCATTTTAGTCTTTCACCAGTTGTACATAGCCCTCATCAAGAATACGATGAGCAGGCGGATTAGTGGGTGCAGAACCGATAGTGGGATCCTGGGGGTTTTGGGTTTGGCATAATAAATTAATGAGATTTGTGGTTGCCAACCCGCCTGCCAAGCGTGTCAACTATGACAAATATCTCCCTTGTGAGGTTATGAGGCAATCTTTGGAGAGGCCTATGTATTGTCACGCTTGGTAGAATAAGAGAATTCGTAATCTCGTAACTGGCGAAGTTTCCTTCATTGCTTTGAAAATTTTTGCTTTCGAAATTATCTAGCTGTTTATTTTTCTGTCGGAGGCCATGAACTTTTCCAGACTCTCTTATCATACATTTATCACACCAAGGGAACTAGACAGTGATGGATTTCCATACGCACAATCAGAAGCAAATTAAATGTCGACAGCGCCTTAACCTAGCCTCATTGCCGCCCCTCTAGTGGCTATATATATTATAAATTATAAGTTACAAACACATGAGTAAATAAACGGATTTTATGCGGTTGCACTACTACAAGCACGCGGGGCATGTGTGCGTGACCACTGACCGCTTGTCGCGTACGCGGCGACTGGAAACTGGAAAAAGTCGGTTACACTGGCACAGCCAGTGGACAACAATCTCAGGGTTAGTGCGACGCACGTTGTTTGTTTTGTTAGTTGCAAGTTTAAATATTTTAATGTAAAAACATGGTATTATTAACAATGGTTGTTTATTGTACTGTATGTATGAATAATACTAGAAAAAATAAAAATATATCATACTTTAACTATCCCAAAGAGTACAATAGTTGAAAGTTTTCAAGTAAGTACCTTTTTTATGATCCTTTTTTAATAACAAGAGGGTACTACACAGTGTGTTTTTACCTCTTTATTGTTATTACAAGCTTTTACTAAACATTTTTAGGTATGTATGCGTGTTAAGTTCACATATTGCAAGTAAGATTTGAACCACTTCCCGATGTCTGATTGAGTTGATATTTTGTATACCGTAACTTCAGTGACAATGCAATAATATGATAGACATAACCTGATGCTGCAGCCAGGATTGTATCCTTACGCGGAAACTCTTTAACGGTTAGTAGCATGGACTTGAAATTTTGTATTTAAATTTAATTTTGTTTGTTAAACATAATCTTCACCATAAACTTTTTTTTACTGCTGCTGCAGTCACGATAGTCTGCTCACGAGGGAACTCCTCAACCGGGAACTCATTGTCAATGTTGGCAACGTAATACTTAAACGTACAAAGATTGTAAATTTGATATGTCATGTGAGTGTTTCCCGTTAAATTACTTGAAAACATTTTATCTTCGATTCAGTATTTACCACACTTTTAAAAGAAACAATAAATTATTAAACATACAAAAATTATTAGAGTAAGTAATTTGTAAAGTATTCTATCATATTGAACTAATTAACAAATGTTTTGTTTAATTTGTCTTCACCTATTGTGACAACCCTACGAAAATATGTAACAATTTTGCACGTTCTTAAGAAGCTTTGTCTCTGTTCCGTTTATCTACTCATGTGTTATAACTACCCATTTCGCAAATAAACTATAGAGTTTATAGTTGCAAAATAATTAGGACACGCGTACACTTAACATGTGGACGTGAATGAAAAATGCGATGAGAGAGTGAGAGCGAAGTAGGAGTAACCAAATAGACGATTATTTTTCGTTTTAAAACTTCTGCCCGCGCTCTTTTATCCCATGCGCTCCTAGGCGCGTGCCTAGTTTGCCTTAAGGATAATCTGCCACTGCGCACAATAACATAGCAATAAGCAGTACAATATGCTTTAATAATGTCCACCAGACTGAAGTTGTTCACGGTGGTCAGTCTCAACGGAGAACAGTCATCTGCGCAGGATATGATTAGTTACAGTGCATGAGTGTGTGCGAAAGTACAGGTGCTCTCTCTATTCCCTCACTTTCATAGTCCAATGGAACGACAAACGATTGTAGAGATATCAGGCGCAGTGCCAACGGCTTTCCGTGCATTCCGAGGCACGGAGGTGAAACACCGCCAACTTCCTGAATCTGGGTGAATATCTTGAGAGAAAAACCTAATAGTTGAATTTGACGTGGGATTCGAACTGGGAACATATAATAAGCAGTTGCGCTTTCCACCACTAGACCAATGAGATAGTCAATAGTCAAATAACTTGTGAATTTGATATAAACTTACATTGCCTGCAAATAGGATAACGACATGTTGACTCTGTTGTGGTCATGTACATGACTGAGGTTGGGTACTTCCAGCAGCCCCGATGTTGTGATGATGCTGTAAAAAATTTTGGAGGCTAACTTTATAATATTAACATAGACATAGACATAGACATGCATTTATTCAGCAATTACTCATACAGTTTTGACACAGAAAATAAAATAATACATAAAAACATCAAAGATAAAAGTAAATAACAAAAAACAGTCATAAAATGATCCGATTGCTTTCACAACACAATTTATAGATTAAATTCATGTATGAATTTCGTTCTCAGAATTATACATCGGGTTAAAGATCATGTTGTTGTACCAGATGGAAGTTAGTGTAGAACATTCTTTTTTTTTTAACTATACTGTATGTATGTGAATGTAGTGACATTCTATAGTTAAAGTCATTTTATCGAAGAAAAATTGATTGACTCTCAAGGTGGTACGTAGAAAATACTCTAGATGGCATAAACACAAAAATATTATTAACATGCTTGTCTAATCCATTCATAAGAATCCATAATTTCAAAACTCATCCAAACTCAAATAGGATCACTCTATCTCAAAATTAATTATAAATTAACTAATAGCAATAGACAGAAAAATTACGGATTCTACTGGATCATTTAAGGAGCAATTAATTGTCATATAGTTTAATTTTATAAAGTACATATTTTATGTTTTATAGCAAAATTAAATTTTCGACAATTTTTTTTAAAATTAATTATAAATTAACTAAAAGCAATAGAGGTGGAGCAATTTCAGATTCTGCTGGAGCATTTAAGGAGCAATTAATTGGCATTAATTTTTTAAAAATTAATTTTAAATTAACTAATAACAATAGAGTCGGAGCGATTTCAGATTCTGCTGGAGCGTTTAAGGAGCAATTAATTGGCATACAGTTTAATTTTAAAAAGTAGATATTTTATAATTTATAGTAAAATTAAATTTACGATACTTACATTTTTTAAAAATTAATTATAAATTAACTAATAACAATAGAGGTGGAGCAATTTCGGATTCTGCTGGAGCAATTATGGAGCAATTAATTGGCATACAGTTTAGTTAATAAAAAGAATGTTCTACGCTAACTTCCATCTGGTCGTTGTTGTCACACTATCTTTACTTATGCTACCAAAAACTTTCGCATAATCCGTCCTAACCTAAATTAACTTTTCTGTAGATACATAGAATTGTGTTGGCAATGAGGGTATCAAATGAAGGTCTTTAGGTTCTGGAGGGCAAAATCCTTCTCTAAACTAACACTGCACGGGGCAAATAGAGCGATAAAACCACGGCGGCTCCTGCCTCGCTATCCGAGGACTTAGGCAACATCAGGGGACTTCACTCGAACCTTAACACCGTCTACTACCATCTAGAGTACTTCGTACCTGTCCTACCCGGGGTACAAATTAGAACACTTCTTCGGGCTGGAGTTTGCGTATACGTCAGAGAGGATATCTATTCTCGACGCATCGGCAGTTTTGAAGGTATGGACCTATCCATCCTTTGGCTGCGCGTAGACAGCGACGATCATTCCCGCGTCTACGGGTGCCTGTATAGGTCCCGTATAGCGGTAATGCCGAAACAGACCGACTCATTGACTACATCCAAATAGCTACAGATTTCTTGCTACAACAGATCCCATCCATAGAGTTCGTAATACTTGACGATTTTAACGCCCACCATGCCGAATGGCTCGGTTCACGTTTAACCGACCATGCAGGGAGATCTGTTTATGACTTTGCCTTGGCATATGGTCTTACACAACTTGGTTACTTCACCTACCTACCTACCTGCGGATTCCAGATGTGATATCAGGTTTCCGTCGATGCCCCTCTCGGCTCTTCGGACCATTATCTGATTCAGAGTGTGGTGCTACCCACGCTCCCCTCGCGATTGCGTTCTGCAGGCTGCCGCTGTTTGGCATTACAGGTCGGCGGATTGGGACGGAATGCGGTCTTTCTTTGCATCCTACCCATGGGGGCGGGTTTGCTTTTTGTCGGATGATTCCAGCGCTGTTGCTGTCTCTGTCACAGATGTGGTGATACAGGAAATGGAACTATTTATTCCATCATCTGTGATACCTATCGGAGGCTGATCTCAGCCTTGGATTGGTCGCACCTGTAAGACTGTAAGCAGGAGTGTTATCAGGCCTGGGCTGAGTCTTCGGCTGCTCGGGATGTAAACACAAACATGCTTAAAATGCGGGACAACGCCTAGGATGCTTGCTTTTTGGACGGTTCCGTGGCGCAGTGGCTTAGCAATGAGTTGCTGTGCTGGGGGCCGCGAGTACGAATCGCGCACGGAACAAGTATTTGTATGGCCTACAAATAATTGTTCCAGATTTGGATGTTTGTCCTTGTGCAATTTGTGTTTGTAAACTGCCTCCACGATACAGGAGAAAATTTTAGTGTGTTGGTAACGTTTAAAAAAAAAGAAGTATAACTTCGCCTCCAGGTCCTTCAAAAGAGTTATTGCCAAGGCAAAGTATGAGTACATTCCGCCAATTGTACGGAAGACGTGCGCTCCAGAGTTGGCACTGGTTCTAACGCGTCTTTTCCGGTACCTACTTCTACTCCTTAGGCGTTGTCCCGCATTGATGGAAAACAACTTTCGTGCACCCGATCCCTAAAAAAGGTAACCGCTCTGATCAGTTCAACTACAGGCCTATCGCCATCACCTTCTTGTTCTCGAAAATAATAAAGTCCATTATTAACTGCCAACTCATGCGGTACCTCGAGGAGCACCAGCTGATTAGTGACCGCCAGTACGGTTACCGTCGGGGTCGCCCAGCTGGTGATCTTCTTGTTTACCTAACACATAGATGGGCACAGGCGATCTAGTCCAAGGGGGAGGCATTGGCCATAGCAGCAGTTAGTTTGGACATAGCAAAGATCTTCAATCGGGTCTGGCATAAAGCGCTTCTTTCGAAACTTCCTTCCTATAGGCTTCCCGAGAAATTGTGCAATTGGATCACCAGTTTTCTGGCTGATCGGAGCATCCAGGTAGTAATAGACTGTTGTTTCGAATTAATTTATGATATATTAATTCTGAATGTTTCGATTACAAGCCTATTAACGCTGGTGTTCCACAAGGTTGCGTGCTATCACCAACGCTGTTTCTTCTGCATATCAATGATATGTTCCGAACCAGTAACATTAATTGCTATGCGGATGACATCACTGGTGATGCTCTATACACCGGCCGTGCCAATATTTCTCGGGAAAACTTCGCCGAGTACCGGAACAAACTTGTGTCTAAATTCGAGTCTTTGCTGAACAAAGTCTCGGATTGGGGGCGACTAAATCAAGTCCAGTTTAATCCTCTGAAGACACAAGTTTGCGCGTTTACTGCTAAAAAGAACCCCTTGTTGTATGTCCTCAGTTTCAAGACACTCCCCTTGTTGCCACAGCCAGTATCGGAATCCTCGGCGTCGACATATCGAGTGACGTGCAGTTTCGTGGTCACTTGGAAGAGAAGGCTAAATTGGCCAGCAGAACTGGACAGGATATTTCATGCCAGCACACCGCCTGCAATTTTACAAGGCGCAGGTTCGGCCTCACATGGAATACTGTTCCCATCTCTGGGCTGGGGCTCCCCAGTGCCAGCTCCTTCCACTTGACCGTATCCAGCACAGAGCGGCTCGAATCGTCGACGACCGAGTCCTTTCCGTTGCATCTCTTTGTATATTTTATCGCATCAACCACGGGGAGTGCTTTGAAGGATTGTTCGGACTAATTCCAGCCACTCAATTTTACCATCGCACATCGCGACAAAACTCGCGGTACCATCCATACCATCTGGATGATTGGCGGTCCACCACTGTGCGATATAGAAGAAGTTTTCTTTCTTGCACAACTTCCTTGTGGAATCGATTACCACCAGCGATTTATTTTGACCGTTACGACTTAGGGACCTTCAAGAAAAATGCCTACTCCTTTTTAAAAGCCCGGCAACGCATCTGCAATACCCCTGGCGTTGCAGTTGTCCATGGACGGCGGTAGTCACTTACCATCATGTGAGCCGCATGCCCGTTTGCCCCCTCTCCTATAAAAAAAAATTAAGAATCAAAATGCAGATGCGTTGTCGCCCCTGAGATGTAAGATTTAATGCCTCCACCATACGAAACAGCAGCGTTAAACTGTTATCTTACACTGGTATTCTGTTCGAGCGTGGTCTTTCCTCGGTCGAGCTGGACCATTTGTGCTACAACTATATGTAGCATAGCTCCACCGTGTATTGACGAGCGTTGTCGTAGAGAAGTAGGAGATTATAGGGAGTTGACAATTCGCGGTTCTTTGATAGCGAGCGCGTTCATATTCGTTTGCAATTCTTGACAAGACTCTCTTGGAACCAAGAATTACGACGAACGTTTCTGATTGTCCCGTTAGATTTACTTTTCACCTTGAGGCTATCCAGTTCGAATGTCCTTCATTTGGCTGACTGAACAAATTAAGCAAGCATCTTAGCGGATTTCTTGAGTAAGTTTATAGATAATTTTCCCAGCCTGACACAAATTGATCAATATCAACCAAGTTGAATGAAAAAAATTGGTTTTCAAACTAGCCAGTATTAGAAAAAAGCATTTTATACGTAAGGTAAGAGCTAAGGACATAATAAGTCTCTGATTTTCTTCAATGATCGCTTGTAATATGATGTTTAATTAATGACAAATGTTGAAGATTACAGACATGATTTGGGGGTCGACCAAATATAATTTGGGGATGGAAGCTTTGCTAAAATAATTCATAAAATTAACTTTACTTACACATTTAAAAATGTTTTAAATGTGATAGTTAATAAAAAATATATAACTTCACGGTTTATAAAAAAATATAATAACATACATACGTACAATGTGCGCAGCTCGGGCAGAGACGGGAGCGGCGCTAGTCTGTGCAGTCGTGGCGCTTGTGTTATAAAACTGAAAGATAAGGCTATTATCAACAAACAAGCGCCGAATTATGTGCTCGTGGTTTTCTAGATTTATCTCTGTAGTGTGAATTCTTATATTGATATTGTGGTTCCTTAATTTTCAATTGATCCATTTTTGTGTTTATTTGCACTTATCTAAAATTAAGAACATGCAAGAAATTAATATATACTAGCGAAACGCCCCGCGTTCGCTTGCATAGGATCAATTAATATGGTATTATTGAGACATCATCACATAGGCCTCTCCCAAGGAATGCCATAAAGCACGGTCCTGAGCCACCTACATCTTTTTTTTTTTCGCGGGTAGGAGTTGATTAAGTTAGACATATTTTAATACACAGAAATCTTTAATTTGTATAATATTATATCTAGGGACTATTTAATATAAATTTAATGTTCCTGTGATATATAAACTCCTGCCAGTCAAGTCTGAAATATATTTAGAATAACTTGAACTCTTTAGCACATTCACTTCACTACCACATTGTTATAACCTTAAAAACAAATGGAGTCAATTAAGAAAACCGTTGCGGACCTCACTGAACATTTCAATTTAAGGATGGCTGAGTTCCAAAAAGATCTCAGGAGTTCAATTCCAGCAACAAGCCCCACTTCAAATATTAATCACCAATTTCATTCATTCCGGTGCTTTGTTTTAACTGCTTTAGAAAATTTGCAACTGCAAGTTGAACTATTAGCTCAACAAAATGATAACATGGAGATGAGATCTCGAAGAAAAATCCTGCTTGTTCATGGTATAGCCGAAGACAAGAAAGAGAACACATCCTCTAGTGTTGTCAAGATTCTATCTGACCACTTGAAAGTCCCTGGTATTACCACTGATTCAATAGGCCGGTCACATCGTCTTGGTCAACCTGGCACTGATAAAACCCGGGCTGTGCTTGTAGAATTTAGAGACTATGGGACAAAAGAGAAGATATGGCTTGCAAAGAAAAATTTGAAAGGCACAGGGATTACATTGTCCGAATTTCTTACAAAGGGTCGACATACTACATTCCAAGCGGCGCGCCAACGTTTTGGAGTTTCAAGGTGCTGGACGAGGGATGGCATCATCTTCGTACTAGGACCTGATCAAGTACGCCATCGTATCCATTCTAGGCTTGATCTTGATGCTATTTCTACCTCTGAATCGGTGACTCAAGCCACATCTGCTGTAACCTCGGTTCCAAGTGTGGTGAAAGACTCCAGGTCTGCTCAAGTAAGAACCAAGAGAATTGGTAAAAAATGAATCCTTTTTTTTTGAGCTGGTTAAATCTGTTGTATCTCGTGCGACTACCGTATTTCTGGTTTGTTTACATTCTTCTATTGTAAAAATTTTTTAATTTATTTTTATTAATATATATCACCATTTTTCTTTTATATTTTCGATGTGAGGTAGTTGGTAGTAAGAGAGAGGGAAGGAAAAGAGAAAGAAAGCATTTCAATGTAAACAAACAATAAGTGAATTGACATGACATTGGATAACAGTTGCACATTTTTATTTCTTTCTTCGGCGTGGGCAAAGGTCTCATAGTCATACAGCCGTACCTTATGGTATTTTTGCCTTCTACATTTCATGTTTTTGTTTTTTTTCTTTTTTCTTATCACAAAGCAACATTTCTATAACAATTCTCTTTGTGCTTATTACATATTTTTTTTTGTAAAATGCTATTTGTTTACAGTTTTTGGTAGTTTTGTTTTGTTTAAAAATTGTCTCTTTTTATTTCAGTTATTCTGAAACATCTATTATTATTATTATTATTTTTGTTTCATCTCTTTCAGACTGCTGGCGGGATAGAGATCTGTTTAGGTACTTACTTATATATTTAATTTTACTATTTAGTTTTATATTTATATATCATATATATTATATATTTTATTTTATTTTACTATGTTGTTAGATAATTATGATGTAGGTAATGATTCTGACGATTTCTTGTCTTTATCGTCAAATGATAATGCATCTAGTGAACACAGCTTCCACAGTACAACATCTTCAATTCCGATAAATGTAGCACTTAATTCATATTTCTCAGATTCCCTGAAAAACTTTAATGTAATTCATATAAATGCCCAAAGCATTCCAGCTCATTATCCCGACATGCTTGCGTCCCTTGAATCCCATAACGTTCACGCCATTCTAGTCTCTGAATCTTGGTTGAAACCATGCTTGCCATCCACTTCTTATTCATTACCAGGATTCCATCTTATTCGCAACGACCGTATTGGAAGGGGGGGTGGTGGTGTGGCAATCTATCTCCGTTCTTATTTACCTTTTGCGGTAGTAAGTTTGTCCCCCCAACCATCTCCTTCTAATGCGGCTGAGCATCTCTTCATTGAAGTAACCCTATCCAATACGAAAATTCTTCTTGGCGTTTGTTACAGTCCTTCTCTTCATATTGACTATTTCTCTTCTTTCGAATTTTTATTAGAAAATTTAATCCCATTATATACTCACACTATAATCATGGGTGACTTTAACACATGTCTACTCAAGGGTGACTATCGGTGTGAAAAGCTAAAATCATTAACTGAGGCATGTAATCTACATATATTACCACTATCTGCTACGCATAAAATGCATGACTGTACTCCATCACTACTTGACTTAATTATTGTATCCTCTCCAGATTTTGTCCTGAAGCATGGCCAGCATGACGCTGATCTTTTCTCTCATCATGATCTCTTGTTTCTTGCATACAAAGTTCGTCCTCCTAAAGCAAAATCGAGAATTCTTCTGCAACGTAATTTTGGTGGAATGGACAAAGAACGTCTTCTGGAAGATGCTCGTCGCATGGACTGGTCAGCTGTTGAAAATGCTTCAACAGTCGACTTGAAAGTCGAGTTATTTAACTCCTTTCTTATCCAACTTTATGACATCCATGCCCCAGTAAAATCAATAAAAATGAAACATTTACCTGCACCTTGGTTAACTGATAGTCTAAAAAAACTTATTATAAAAAAAGGATTTGCTAAAAGTAAGTTAAAAGCTGATAAATCTGAGAAAAACTTACGATATTATAATAAAGTACGGAATCGCTGCAATACATTGTGTAGGGATGCACAAAGACGCCATATTCATAAATCCGTCGAAAACGGCGACGCAGCCAAAGTTTGGAAGTTTCTTCAGTCTCTTGGAGTTGGTAAAACATCCAATAATTCTCCTCATCATAATGTTGATGTTGAATTCCTTAACAAATACTTCACCTGTTCTAGCACATTAGATAGCTCAGATAAAGATCGGACTCTGAGTATTCTTTCTTCAATACCAACTCCTGATTTTCCACCGTTTAATTTCTCTCCTTTCACTGATAGTGATGTTAAAAAGAACATTTTGTCCATCTCGTCCAATGCCGTGGGTGATGACAATGTTAGTCGTAACATGATCTTACCTATCCTAGAATTTGTTACTCCTATCCTTACCCATATCTTGAATAAATCCATCTCCTCTTCAAAATTTCCTGATGTTTGGAAAAGTGCACTTGTAACGCCTCTCCCAAAAAAACCCCATGCTTTGCATTTTTCCGACTTTCGTCCTATCTCAATTCTCCCGTTTTTATCCAAACTCCTGGAGAAACTAGTTTTCTTTCAGTTAAATCTCTACCTAAATAGAAATTGTATCCTGGATCCTCTCCAATCTGGTTTCCGATCGGGTCATAGTACGACAACAGCGTTGGTTAAAGTTACTGATGACATTCGACGAGGTATGGATAACAAACAGCTCACTGTGTTAGTATTGCTTGATTTTAGCAATGCGTTTAACACTGTTGATTTTGACATCTTATTGAGTGTGTTACGTTCTATTAACATATCTCCTCCGGTGATTGGCTGGTTTCATAGTTATCTTTACGGCCGACGGCAGCGTGTTCGCATCGAAGATGAGTTCTCATCTTGGTGCGAATTACGGGCTGGAGTGCCTCAGGGTGGTGTGCTGTCTCCTTTACTTTTTGCTATATTCATTAATTCTATCTCTCAAAATATTACTTCTCTCTATCACATGTATGCAGACGATCTCCAAATCTACACTCAGTCAACTCTGTTAAATCTGCCTTCTGCTGTTGCCACCATCAACAATGACCTAGCGGCGATAAACCAGTGGAGTCAGCGTTATGGTCTAAAAATTAATCCGTTCAAGTCCCAGGCTATAGTTATTGGTGGTGGAGGGATGGTCTCCAGAGTTGACTGGAACAACCTACCCTCGGTGACACTAAATGACGTTGTCATACCCTACAGTAAATCTGTAAAAAATCTGGGAATATATCTAGATTCTACCTTGTCGTGGTCGCAGCAGTTAAAACAAGTGAGCAAAAAGGTGTTTGCTACTATGGGTTTACTTCGTCGTTTACGTTCTTTTCTCCCCATTCCCACTAAGATTATGTTAGCACAATCCTTACTTCTCTCTATTCTCGATTATGCGGACGCAAGTTATCTCGATTTAACTGAAGACCAACTGAACAAACTTGAGCGAATTCAAAATATTGCTATTAGGTTCATATTTGGTTTGCGTAAATATGATCATGTATCCGAATATCGTTTACAGCTCAAGTGGTTACCCATTCGCTTTCGCCGGAATCTGCAAACTGTATCTCTTTTGTACTGTGTGTTGTTCAATCCTTTGACTCCAAGCTACTTGAAGGAAAACTTTAAGTTTCTTGGTCATGATCGACCTGATAGAGTTCTTCGGTCAGCCGGTGAACTAATTCTAGAACCATGTTCATTTCGAACAAAATTTATGAAATACTCTTTTACGAGCCAAGCCATAAGGTTATGGAATGAACTTCCACTCCAAATTCAACGTGCTCAAACTTTGGAAAGATTCAAAAGTGACGTCAAGAAGCATTACCTAACACTTTGTGGTTATTGATAACCAATTCTAGCAATATTTATTATCTTTGTATATATATGTATGTGTATATATTTATGTATATATATATATATATATATATATATATATATATATATATATATATATATATATTTATAAATATGTATGTTTATTTTATTATTATTTTTTATGTATTATTGTGGTATTTTAACAAAATATAGTTTAGTTTATTTAGATATTAATATGTAAGTGTAACATAAAGCGCACCACCTCCTACTGTTCTTAATTCCAGTTTCTCTTTAGCCCAAAGGTTGTCTGGAAGAGATCGCTCTTTAGCGATAAGACCGCCTTATTGTACATACGTATATATTAAGTTTTCTCTGTAATGTATTTATTCGTTGTATATGTGTGGTGTACAATAAAGTATATACTACTACTACTACTACTACCTTCCTGTATGTCTTACCAGTTCGTCATTATTTATTTACGTTATTGAGTCTTAAAATAATCAAATACCAACAAATAATACAAACAAAACTATAAACAAACTAATAATATACGAGTATAATATAATACATCCTGTCTGGCATTACTCTTTATATATCTGTTCGTAAAGTTTCATTACAGTCGGTTCAGCCATCCCGAATATTTATTTAGCATTAAGTCCGCCCATTGTAATCCTTAGATAAAGGTGTAACACAATAAGGAATAAATAAATAAATAAAAAAAATATAAGCCCATACAGACAGACAAAATTTTTAAAAATGGTTATTTGTCTCAAATGTTATTTCAGTATTACAGACATTCACTTAAATCTCATTTATAGATATGTATAGAATAGAATAGAATAGAGTAGAATGATTTTTATTCAATATAGATTATTACACGATACTTATTGAAAGTCATTACTTTATTTACCACTGGTTCGGAAAATACCTCTGTCCTGGGAAGAACCAGCAAGAAACCCAGCGGGACTTTTTTTTAAACATAATTTCACTTAACAATAATTTTGTTTATACAATTTTAAATTAATTTTCATAGAACCAGCATGGTGGCGATCACCTTATTCCCAGGGGTTATTTTCATTCATGTATTCCTTGATATTATAATAACCCTTTTTGTACAGTTTTTCTTTAATAAAACTTTTAAACTTGTTTATTGACAAACTTTGAACATGTTCTGGGATTTTGTTGTAAAAGCGTATACATTGCCCCATAAATGAATTACTAATTCCGTGGAGTCTAGTAACTGGCATTACAAGCTTATAGATTATGTAAACAAAAATATGTTTTTTATTTATAACATTTGATAACAAACGAGCTAACATACACTTGACGTTAAATGGCTGCTCAAGCTCATGGACACCTGCAACCAAAAAAGCAACAAACAGCATTGTCACTAGTCACCACCGAGGATTAAGATGAATTGCCAAATAGTCTTTTATTATATTGCCTCTCTTTACCCTCCACTGTTTAGACACATAGAGCAAGTTTAGTTATGTGGTAGAGCCATGCTGCAGGTATATTATGGTTGTAGCACGAATGGGTCGGCTCGACCGGCGTAGGACCATGCTCTCACAGAATACCAGCGTAAAATAGTAGCTTAATGCTGCTGTGTTTCGTATGGTAAGTGTAGAGAACCGGAGACCCTTTTTACTGGAAACAAAGCACTCTATCTTAGTCCTCAGGGTCGATAACGCATCTGAATTTTGATTCTCAATGGAGGATAAATGTAGATGTCTATGGGCCAAAGTATCCAATTACCAACAGGTGGACTGTGTGCTCGTTTGTCACCCTTATTCTATATAAAAAGTGGTCGGTGTTGCTCTATGTTTAGACCGGAACCCAACAAACAGTACACGCTGTTGTCGCTGTTACCCTGGATAGAGAACAATCTTCTTCTTCTAAACATATAATAAAAATGTAAGTAGCAAGTATTTGTACATTGCATATTTATGTAACAAAATCAAAATACTTAAGTAATGTTAGAGAGGTACAAAAAATGAGTGATTAAATACATTTCTAACATATTTAGAATTGTATGTCTGTTTGTTTATTAATACATCACGTCTAAATTACAAAGTATCAAGGGAATCGTTAAGAAAATCATAAAGCGTATCTTCGTATGCATTGTCTTTGTTTGCATGGGATAAATAAAGCATAAAAACTTGCTATTCTGTGCACTCACTACAGATTTATTATTGTTTTTAGCATATTTGCCCTGAATATGGGTAGAGGTTATATTTTATTTATTTCCGTGTAGGAAAAGCCAGTCATGCTTAAATAAAAGTTGCTGCGAAAGAGATGTTCGTGCGGATTTTTTTTAACAAAATAAATAATGTGATATTTACCAGTGACGCAAATAAAAATTCATTAAACCATCTTTGTTTTACATTTTTTTTGTGTGTGATAAAGAAACATAAGCTCCTAAATCTCTAGCAATAAACCTGTGATAACGTTAAACATAATAAATACGTATTCCAAAGCCAAAAGTCAACGTTCGTACACTGTGATATTTTAGCTATGTATAGCATTAATACCAAATTAAGAGGAGATTTCCTAAATATTATGAAGATGTACATATTTTTAGTTAAGTCAACAAATTCAATCTATGTAAAACTGATATATTAAATAATCCTTTTAACATGACCGCAATACATTGGAAATATTTTCTTATACTTTTTTCTCGATAATTTAAAATTAAAAATTTTGTACAACCGACTTCAATATACATTATTATGAATAACTCAAAAACTATTGATCTGGCCTTGATTAAATTTATATGGGACCACATGAGAATAACCGGCTTTCAAATAATAAAAGAATCATCAAAATCGGTTCACCCAGGAAAAAAATTATGAGGTAACACAGATAAAAAATACAGTCGAATTGAGTACCTACTCCTTTTTGAAGTCGGTAGAAAACAGTCTATGATATTGTTGCGATTTATGCGTAAATATTCTTGTTATATTTGTTTAAATAAACTGACTCAGAAGCAGAATCTTAATATTTATGAAGAAATTTATATCTTATATTATAATCTTATGAAGAAATTTAATTCCAATTGAAACTTAGTTGATAAAGAGGTACTAGTCAAGATTCCATCATGTTAGAATAACATTTCGGGCTCCAATTATAATTTTTGGATTACTATTATATGATTATTAAACCTAACAAATGTGTGAAACATGGAAAACCGTTTTCTTCAAAAATCATATAAAGAAAACATAAATGTTTAGTTTATCCAAAATATTGGAGCGGCGCGGCGCAGCGAACTTTATTGTTCTATTATTTATTGTGTTAATATTGAGGTATGTGCAAATGACGCGTAAATCTTACATCTTACCCAATAAAAACTTTTATTTATATAACTACTAAACCTACTAAATTAGACACCGTCGTTAGTTTTTTTACGGCCTTGCTCATAGAAATAGAAATGATTATAGCTGCTTTTCTCTCTCTCTCTCTCTCTCTCTCTTTCTCTCTCTCTCTTTAGTAAACGAAAAAAGAAGGAGATAGGTAAAGAGATAGCTAACACTTAAAATAAATTTTAGGCCCTAGTAGAACATACCGAAGCGCTTAGACCATTACGGCATGCAATAAAGCGATAATAAAAGACTAGTTGTAAGTTTGTTAATAGTGTTCATAACATTTTTGATTGCTAATGCAGAACTTAAACTCCCTATTGCAGAAGTCTGTAATGTGTTTTTTTAATCATACAGAACGGGGAGATCGCTTCCAGAGTATTGTACAAGTGCAGTTCAAAGTACACTATCGATTTTATTTTTAGTTTAGTTGGACAACAAAACAAATTTTTTGAAATATAAATATTACTTACAACGATTTCAGATTAGGCATCTTACTCAGATCTTCAACAACAATGTGCTCCAGCTTTGGTGCGTCGATAATTGATCTGCAAACAAATAATAACGTACAAATTACTAAATGTCAGATGCTGAGCGTAGGTACCTACATAGTCTTAAGGCGGCTCTTCACGTTGTCCAACATAGTGGCGAATGTGTTGGCAAAGATATTAGCCAAGAGTTTGTGATGGCGTCCACACGTTGGAGGGTCGTTCAGTTTGCTTCTGTTCAGGCCAATGTGCGGAAGAATTTATTAAAATGGATATTGAGGGGCTAACGGCTGCTGCGTTTTATTTATTCACAGCATACCGCTACTACGTGAATGTGTATAAGAAAAGGGTGATAAAAATAAATAGAAAAAAAATATTTCTTGTGTTCCACAAATAATCTTCGGCTTGGTAGAGCTCTGTAAAGCGAAAAGTTTCTTCATTGGTCATTGTTACTGCCATTTTAGACACTAGTTACGATGCGTGAACATGAAATTTAAATCAGGTGCGTGCGATCATTCAGGGAGCTCGTATCAAACTAATAGTTCCTTGGTTATAAAAAAATTCTCTGTGCTAAAACTAAACGTGCGCCCAACGTGTGAACGCGGCGGCCAATACTTTGCCACAACCCTTTGATCTTTTGTAAAAAACTGACACCACACGGATCTTGCGCCAACTTGTGGACCATCATTCCAATACATACCAAGTGAAGTACAAACATCCGCTCTACACGATGGCCGTTGGTATTGTCCAACACATTCACCACAATGTTGGCCAACGTGAAGAGCCGCTTTTGTAAAAATGGCGGCGTTATCTGAAGTAAAATTCGCAAATTTTTTTTATAGAAGCACGTATACATACCTATACCTTTCGATATTTCTGTTTAGGAATCTATCCAATAAAGTGACTGATACCATATACAGAAAATGTAAAAATCTACCACTATTCGTGGATAAACCCTTGTGCGTTATATTACATAAGTTGCACTACGCATTTTAAAGCGTCTATGAAGTTATGCCTCTGTGAGCAGTAGGCATTATAGCGAAATTTTTACTTTATAAATAGAATAACAGAAGTCATTACACTCCATCACTATCATCAGCAAGTTTAAAAACCACTTTAAGCAGAGATAAATCTTTCGGTAAACATTGGTCTCTTCTAGGCTCGAGCGATAGTCTTCGAGTTTACTGTCAGTCCATAGAAATATTACGTAGTCAGTCTAACTGTAAGATAAGGTTCAAGGTTCAACAATAATTGTTTAAACAATACTTTTTAAAAGTAAAGAGATTTGGTAGCTGGAACTGGCTCAAATGACGGAAATAAATAGCAAACATGACACGAATTATTTAAATTTACAAAATGTACATTGAAAAATAATTTTGCCATAATTGTAAATCTGAAAAAGTGTGAGAATTTTCTTTGTGCTTATGCATATATAAGAATAAGCTATAATTCTTATAATATACCTCATTGTGTATCATAGACATCTTTAAATGATGTCTGTGATATAATTCGTGGTTTTAGTAAACATTAAAGTAAAACCTTAAAAATCATAAAAATAGATAAAATTTAATATTTTCACGTACTTTAAATTGTTCTCATGAATTTTAAAGTACCTTTGTCCGAAATAACGTTAAATACTTTATTATAAAGAATGGGTGGCAACCCTAGCTTGAGTGTAATGATTATAATAGTAAATAACATACAGGTGTTCAACATGATGCAAGTGGTATCCCGCTGCGTGTATAGTTCGCGCCGTTAGTCTTGTGATATTGGTCTGGACTAGGACCACAGAGACTCCACTGGCCGCCTGACTATGTACTGATCTGCCCACTGAAAAAAAATTATGATACAAATATTTCTTGTGCAATTTGATCTATTCAAAGATTTTCATTACCGCTAGTAAGCAACTTGAATGAAAAAAATACACTGACATTTTTATTTATACTAATTATAACATAAGCGCACCTTTTTAACCGACTTAAAAAAGAGGAGATCCTCAATTCGACTGGATGTCTTTTATGTGTGTTACCTCAAAACTTTTTTCTAGGTGAATTGATTTTAATGAAGCTGGTGCTTCTCGTGTGGTCCAATATAAATTTGATTAAGTTCTGACGAGTAGAGTTTGGTTATCCTTAATAATGCTTATTTAATTGACTTCGACTACATTGATGATGTTCTCATTTTTTAGTGATTGCAGTCGGTTTTACTTTTTAACAAAAATTAATTGTTTATACAACTAATTATATATCTTTGATTAACAATCGTAACCGTGTAGTGGCGGTGAAGGAATATCTGTTACCCCATATTGTCCCGTGGGTGTCGTTAGGGGCAACAGTGGGAAACTGAACCAGGGGAGGAGATGGGCAGCAGTGTCTTCCTGATAACAACTGAAAATTAAAAAGCTGCGGTTGCCAACACGCTTGCCGAGCATGGCAATGCTGAAAACGCTGCTGTGTTTCGTATGGTGAGTGTAAAGAACCGGAGACCCTTTTTACTGGAAACGAGGCATTCCATCTTAGTACTACGGGTGACAGCGCATCTGCATTTTGATTCGTAATCGAGGATAGATGTAGATGTCTATGGGCCGCAGCAACCCTTTTTACTGGAAACGAGGCATTCCATCTTAGTCTTCACGGGTGACAACGCATTTGCATTTTGATTCGTAATCGAGGATAGGTGTACCATCAGGTGGACTGTGTGCTCGTTTGTCACCCTTATCCTATAAAAATAAACAAAAAGCAAAATCCCTATAAGGCAAGCTTTAGGGGGGGCCTGTTTTCAGCAGTGGAACTTTATAGGTTGTAATGGATGGATGAGTAATGGATTAACAATTCAAAGACCTAAAAAGCATTTAATATATAACGAAGTACGTATTGTGCCTGAAAGAAACGACGGAGAATTCTAGGTCCTCAGGGGTGACAACGCGTCTAGCTAAGATGGAATGCCTCGTTTCCAGTAAAAAGGGTCTCCGGTTCTCTGATTTTGATTGTTAATCGAGGATAAATATGATATAATTCATTCACTAAGGAAAATATCAACGAATATTAAAAATGCAAAAGCATTGTCACCCCTAAGGAGCTAGAATGCTCCGTCGTTTATCACAGGCACAACATGAAGTGCCGCAGCATTGCTATGCTGCTATTTCACACTCATTATGTGTTACTTCTCCATTCGTGTATTGTACTGAAGCCATAATACTGCTTAATCAATGGCCTTACCACGAAAAATTAACACAATGTCCAATTTGCAGACAACGCCCAAAATAATTGACATTTTTCTAAATTTCCATATCACTAATATTTCTAGCTCTGATGACATCTTGTTGAAACTCTTGTCTAAACATACAATACCATAAATGTTTTTTTTAATACAGTAATTAAACGTACTTAAGCATACATTACTACAAGGCATAACTTAGATGGATGGATAGATAGATAGATAACACTTTATTTTATGTACGCCAAAAAAAAAACAAATATGAACAAAAAAGGAGAGAAAGAAATGTGGTACAATAGGGCGGTCTTATCGCTAAGAGCGATCTCTTCCAGATAAACTTATTATATAATTTGAATTTTCTTCTTTTAGGAGTGTCTCACATTTAGCGGGTTTTATATTTTAAATTGTCGGTAAAAATGCGAAGTGTTGGGCCTCCCCCCACTAGATAGAGTGACGACCTGGTAAGACATGCAGAAAGTCAATGGTTGCAGGTGGCTCGGGACCGTGCTTTGTGGCGTTCCATGGGGGAGGCTTACGTTCAGCAGTGGACTTGTGAAGGGCTGTAATGATGATGATATTTTAAATTAAAAGATATTTTTATTCTTTAAAAATATGCATAAGGTGAAAGAGGAACTTCATCGGACAATAATATTCGCCGTATATTTCACATTACCCGAGCAACCCTGCTTCGCAATTACAATTGCAATTCATCCAATTTACCACGTGCTCAGTGGTGATGAAGTCATCATGAGGAAAACTACATGTGTAAGGAATAAATGCTTCGAGGACATGTGAAGTCTGCCAATATGCATCGGAGAGGCGTCAAATCACTCTATAACACTCGGAAATGGGAGGTGGCTTGTGTCCAGCAGTGGGACCTATATATAAATACTGTATATGTATATATAGACTTTAACTTTTCCTTGTTTCTTTATCCTATTGTCAGAAACCTTATGTTGAGGCATTACTTCTTACTGCATAGATTAATATTAATATGTACGAGTTACGTATACCAAAAACGCAGGCCAGAAATGTGATTAAAAATAAAAACGTAGTGATTATATTATCTTTGATATGACTGCGGAAGAGGTAAATGGTTATTTTTTTAAACCTGTTCGCATCGGTTGCTATATAAATTAAAAATGTCGTAATGATCTCGCACATAAGTGACACATCCTATTTGAACGTGATACATAAGGTACCTAACTCCCCTCCTATAGCTAGATGTTTGTTCTATTTTGTGTGGTCCACCACATTTCGTGTATATATTTGCTTTGTTTTTATCCACATTTTCACCTAATAACCGCTAACTTCTTTCCCACCGAGAAGCCTCAAGACAAGGTGTGACAGGCCAAAGACCGGACATTGGCAGAATTATTGTGACATAACCACAATACCAAGGGCCATATTGATAAAATAAAAAAGGTACCTAACGGGATACTATAGTCTCTAGTATTTATAATTATAACTAATGATTTGCCTGGTACTGGTCATACCTTATTTGGATTTAAGGTAAACAAAGGCCATTTATTTTATAAATGTTTCGTTTTATTATTAAAAAAAATCCAAGTTTTTCGAACATATATTACCACCTAGATCACACTCCTGGCATCGCACGCTATATGTTCGTGTAGTGCCATTACAATCGGTTCAGCTATTCCGAAGATTAGTTCAGACAGACAGCCTGACAGACTGACAAAAATTAAAAAAGGTTATTCATTACTCAAATAACCCCGTCAATTTGAGACATGAAAAAACCTTTTAAATTTTTTGTCCGTCTGTCAGGCTGTCTGTCTAAATTAGGCAGTTATATCTGGGGGCACGGCAGAGCCCCGGCAAGACGAGCCAACCAAACCAAAATGAAGCACTACCTACCTTTTCTTGAAGTGCTTCGTCGTTTTTTTGAACCCTCATAACTTGGGTTTGGATTTTTTTTATAGGATAAGGGCGACAAACGAACACACAGTCCACCTGATGGTACACCTATCCTCGATTACGAATCTAAATGCAGATGCGTTGTCACCCGTGAAGACTAAGATGGAATGCCTCGTTTCCAGTAAAAAGGGTTTCCGGATCTCTACACTCACCATACGAAACACAGAAGCGTTAAGCTGCTATTTCACGCTGGTATTCTGTCAGAGCGTGGTCCTTCCCCGGTCGAGCCGACCCATTCGTGCTACAACTATACCAGTAATATAGCTGCAGCATGACTATACCACGTATTATACCACATAAACAGCATTCTCGAGATATGATGTCACAAGTGATCTTTTTAAACATACAGTTTCAATTGCATAGCTTTTATACTTTAGATTTTATTGATATCTAAAAAAAACGATTTTGTCACTGACTCACTCAGTGATGATGTAAATTAGTATTAGTAAACAAACAACAAAAAAATTGTACAACTTGGAACTTTTATCCCCCAATCCCTTAAACTAGGGGATGGATGTTTGTATGAGACTTCCGCAAATTTTGATGGTAGAGGTTTGAAAATTGATATAGGGACTCCTTATTACTCCTTGTTACAAATAATAATAATAAAATACATATTTCAGGAGTTTTAGTAATTCACCCCCCACTCTTTGAATTAGGGTATTTTTGGTCGTAAGCAACTTTCAAATAGAAGTGAAATCCCAACAAAAACATTTTCATGTAAAATGTTGAAAAGGCGAGACCATATGGCCCGCACTATCAAATCTCATACAAATCTCATGCAGAGCCAAGCTTCTAACTCTACAAGCACTAATTTCACAAGATTCCACGTAATGGGCCAAAATGGAGAGGCAGGAGGCGGCATCGGCAGCCGGTAGTAACGAAACGGCTAAGCCACATATTTTGACTATGGTGTAGTTTGTGAAATTAGTGCTTGCAGAGTTAGGGCGTGTAGAGTTAGAAGCTTGGCTCTACATGAGTTCTCATAACGTTTTGACAGTGCGAGCCATATGGTCTCTCTCGTCTTGGCTACATTTTACATGAAAATGTTTTTGGTCGAATTATATATTACAGACAGAAACCTACTTCAATTTTATTTATGTGTGTATAGATAATAATCTATGTGCTTTACTATGTACTAATCAATGTCCAATCTATTACTAAATAGCAATCAATCCAATATATTACTAGGTGGAGGGACCCTTTTCCAACCGACTTCAGAAAAGTGGAGGTTCTCAATTTGTCTGCATTTTTTAAGGTGTGTTACCTCAGAACTTTTTAGGTAAAGCGATATTGAAGCAGGTGCTTCTCATGCGGTTTCATATAAATTTGATCAAGATCTGACCAGTAGCTTTTGAGTTGTTTTTTTTAATAATGCGTATTTAATTGACTTCGACTACATTGATGATGTTCAAGTTTTATTTATATTGAAGTCGGTTGTACAAAATTTTTAATTTTACCACTTGTCTGCTTAGGTGTCCGTCTGGGTAAATACTGCCCTCTTACCTGTTTCTGCCATGAAATCGCAATGCTCGCTATGTTCCGTTTTGAAGGCATTCCATCTTATGCATTGTCATCGAAGATGAAAATGTTTACGAGGGCGACAGTGAAAGTTTTAGAACTGACCACTTGTAAACGATATAATTAAAAAATAAGCATATACAATATTATTGTGTATC